CCTATCGTTGGTGCCATCGGGTGCCTGCGGGGGGTGTGGCGGCGGCGGTGGGGGGGGCTTTGGCCTCCGTCCTCGGCGCGGCCCACCCTCGAGGACACCACAGTACATCTGAACGGCATCAGCACCGGCATCCCGTCGCCGCAACTCCTCCTCCACCGATCTGGATGTCGGCCATGTCAGGAGCTTTGAGAAAAGATAGATCATCTGCGGGAGCAGCTGTTCATCCCGTAGCGTCTCCTTTGCCTCCTCGTCCACCGCCTCGCCGGAGAGCTGCCGTTCGATGTCGATCACGGCTTGCTCGTCGTCGAACTCCTCCCGAACCCGTTTCCGGTGCTTATAGAGAAGCCGCCTTCTTGTCTTCTTGACGTCGGCCGTTCGTTTTTCAAGCTTCTCAATTGCCTCGGGATCGTTGGTCTGCACGGCACGCCGTTTGGCCCGGTCTCTCTTTTGGATGGCTTCCTGCAGCTCTGGGTCCTGTTCCACGATCGCCTTCTGCGCATCCGTCAGATGCCGTGGACGCCGTTTGTCGAGAAAGCGGCCGATCCGCGTGATTGCTCGTATCAGAGGGGCATTGGGGTCCAAGCCGCTGATCAGTGCCTGCATATTGAGGCCCACCCTGCGTGGAATATAGTGATCCAGAAACGTGCGGATGCTGGCATGCTTCAGGACTAGATTCTGCTCGGCATCGCCGACCAACCCTGCATGGTTGGTTCCGTGTCAGCGTCTATCTGGGCGAAAAGAGATGAGGGCGTCTTCTTACCACTCTTGTTGAGGATCAGACCCCCACCATACCGGAAGCGATGGTTGAACCAGGGGTGCAGAAAACCGGCGATCTCGGCCATCGAACGGACCGAGGACGAAGGGTCCATCATTTCTTCAGGGAAGATGCGGACCTCGCCGTCCTCCTTCGCCACTCTGCAGAAGACATAGTGATTTGCCATCTCTGGCTTCAGCGGGATCAGCAGCTGCTGTCGGCCGCCCTCGATCTTCAGTCCCCTGAGCTTGGCCATTGAGGTTAGACTGGGAGGACTGAACGCTTCGAAGAAGAACAGGATGCCGAAGAGAAAAATATGCGGACTGAGGATCAGAGACGGCTCGTAGATGATCTCCGGCAGGGTGAACGTGTTCCTGGTCAAATGTCAGGCCAGTGTGCATGTCCGGGGATGATATCAGGGAGAACTTACGTCTGTGTGAGACCGAGGTGCTTCTTCGTAAACTCGTAGCTGAATTCCACCGTCGGAAGGTGGGGCCCCCCGCTGGGGTCGCGCTGGAGCGACACCCGCAGGTCCTTGAATCGCAGGTTGAGGATGGCGCTTTTCCGGTTCAGCGTGAAGAGGCCCAGCAAGTTGTAGAGGCAAATCTGCATCCGCTGCAGCCCAAGCCAGAATCTCTTCTCCTGCGTCCGCAAGCCAGTCTTCTGAAGCGTAGCCGTGTCCTCGACGTACACCGGGTCCTTCTCTTTCTGCTGTGTATCCAGCCCGTGCTTCTTGGCCAGCCGCCGAAGGCTCTTCCACGGCGATCAGCCTCGTCGATCGGCGCGCCCGATGAGGGGTGGGACTTACCTTCCGCATCAGCCGCATCAGCCGTCCGTCGAGCTTGGTGCCAGTGGCACCCTCATGATAGCGCAAGAAGTTCTTCCAGTCGCCATCCAGGGAGCTTGACTTGCGCGTCCCCTTCAGTCGACGGCCGCCCTTCCCAAATTTCAGTTTGAAACGCCAGTTGAGGAACAGGTACAGATTGCGTCGCCCTGCGGCGCGGAGAGCGTCGACCGGATCCTGCCACTTGGGGTCCGCGGAGGTTTTCGCCTTCTTCCTGCAGTATCTGGAGATGGTTCCCCGTCAGTCTTGGATCACGGAGGTTGGGGTTCAGAGAGGGAGAGGGGGAGAGCCGACCGCTGCCAGTGATCCTCCAGCCGAGCGATATTGTTCCTGGTGCCAAAGGCGTAGTCGTCATCCTCGTCCTCCGACAATATCTCGTCGTCCGTATCATCCTCGGGGTCCGTATCATCGTCGGAGTCGTCTGTAACAGAGACAGCTGCGCCCTTGGGGACCGGTGTGTTGGGCTTGTAGCGCAATCGTCGACGCCTGCGTTTGACCTTCCGTCTGTCGCAAGGTGCGTCCGAATCGGGCTCTGTCAGCTCGTTCTCATATCCTCGATCGGACTCGCTGTCCGTAGCGAAGGGGGATAACTGGTCAGTCGTGCCACTGCCGCTGCTGGAGGTCGGCCGGCCTCGACGACGCCTGGGCATGTTCACGGCGCCGTGGAGGTCCGGACCGATGACGGTTGATAAAACGATGGGAGGGAGAAGTAGCGATGAGGACAGGACAGAGGGGCGGAGACCACCAGCAGATGTGTTTTGCCGCGCAGAAGGGCAGGCTTGCTGGGTGTGCGGGTGGAGGAATTCTTTTGATGTGGATTGCAGGAGTGGTGGCTCGAGGCCATCGGGGGCGGCTGGCGCTCATTATATAGAGCCATGATTAGGCGGATGGGCAGGGTGAGGAGGGCGACGCAAAAGGAGGCCGAAGATCGAGAGGAGCGGTTTCTGGTGGCCCTGAACGAAAAGGACCGCGGCCATGGAAGTGACCAGAACGCCAGCAGGCAGAACGCCAACGGGAGAGAGCAGGCGCGCGCGAGACGACTGATCGTTGGCCAGGCGCACGAGATCACGTGTGCACTGTGGTTGGGGCGTGGCGGTTGGGGCGGCGGGCCGTGGACGGAGTGCGTTGCGCTGGACCGGCCGAAATTGGCTTGAAAACAGGCCCGAAGCAGCCGCCCCGGAGCAGAACGAAATTAACAGTCAGTATATTACAATATTTTTTTCTAAATAAAAATATATCTTAAATGAATTTTACTAAATTCATTCAAATTCATCATAGCAGATTTCAAGTATAAGAGAATGAGAGAAATTTATTATTAAAAAAATATTGGAATATACTTGGAGCATGATACATATACTTCAATTATAATATAGAACTCATATATACTATAGAAGATAGTGAGTAAATGCTATGAGTACTGACAGATATGTTGAGCATAATAACTCTACTAAATATCTAGTCTAAACTTGAATCATATTTATCACTGATTACTCTGACAATGCTGCATCTTCAAATCACACATACTAAAATGTGGCCTGAAGTTCATTGAAGAATCTAAAATGGCAGTAGATTACTGAGGTTATTACCCACCACTAGTCTGTATAACTAATTACAGCAGCTTATAGTGACAAATGTGTCGAATGGGTTTTTTTAATGTTTTCCACTATAATTACCTAATTCCACTTACATACACTGATAGAAATTTATATTAAAAAGCAATACATCTTGGATTCTTTAAGTACTGTACATTTTAAAACAATGAATTTACATCATTGTAGATATCATTACTAGATATCATTGTTGAATATCATCACTGAATATCATCATTAAATATCATCACTAGATATCATCAGTAGATATCATTGTTAGATATCATCATGAGATATCATCACTAGATATCATCATGAGATATCATCATGAGATATCATAATTAGATACAATTAATAGATATCATTGTCAATATATATATATATACTGTGGTTTCCACACTATACTGTGGTTACTGGTTTGTTACAAACCTATGGCATAACCCTGAGAGCCATTGGACAAGGAACGACTAAATGGTAGAGGGCATGCAAGCTAGACATCGGATAAGGGAAGATCCGGTTAACCAATAGGAACAATAGGTCACGTGACATAGTGGATCACCTGGATCACTCGGATCACTTGAGTGAGCGGAGTGATCACAGCTATTCTCACTCTGATAGCTATCTTGACAAGAGCTATCTGAGCTATCCTCATGTATCTCAAGATGTATATAAACACACTCATTACTCTTAGAATCAAGGAGCTTATCTTCTTTATCACAATCAATTTCATTTTATTCACTTTTTTACTTATTACCTTTACTTATACTCAGTTACATCGTATGACTATAAGTTCACCTTAAGTATACTTCTTCATGATGCATATCTTAAGCCTTCGCCCCTACCTGTAAGCTCTACTAGATATTCTTATTGTTTATCTTAGGCCACTGCTGTAGCTATTGTTAGTCATTTTAGATATTTCTTTTAATGTTATATCTTAATCTGTGATAGTGGCACTACCTCCTGACTTAATGAACAAGCTCAGCAACACTATATAAGCCCTGATCTTATCTTATATCAGTGAGAAGCTTGCTAAATTAGAGACTCGGTAGCAAAACATCTATCTCTTTCACAAAGTTCATTCCATGTTCACTAATTCATTGGACAAGCTCTTCACCTCAGTGCAAATTCACTGCCTCTGATTTAAAGACATCATACTGTACATTGATATCTCCATCTATTAGACAGCGGGCTGATGGGTTCAGATTGATCAGATAGTTCATAACTGTGTTTATCTCGGATTATCTGTACACATTGAGAATGTGGCAGTCATTTACACTGATTTATAGCAGATTTTTGTTTTGCACAGACTGATGTTGCTATGCTCTTGTCTTTAAGTTTATATATACATATATCATAACTCAGAGCCCCTTCTCCTCTTACTGCTTCAGATTAATATCATCTCAGCAGTTTATAAACACAAAGCATTCATATATTGAATGATTAGAAATCTTGATGTCAGAGTGTGTGTATGACTTCTATATATAAATCACTTCACAGCTCTGTTTAAAAGCAAGTTGTAGATTTGCTGTGTGATAAGAGATTGTTCTGACTGTATTTGCTTAGAAGATTTGCAGAGGATGATTTTTTTATTAATTGTTTTTACAGCATCAATTGTATCATTGATATTGATGTTTTAATATGAGAAGTTACTTGATGAGCTGCTGCTGAAGTCCATCTGCAGAATGAGGTTGAAGAGCTTTAGATTTGTCATTTGCATGCTGAAATTAGATTGTTTTTTAATTATTTAACTGTGCTGCTTTACTGCTGTGTGAGCTGAGTGTTGCCTAATGCAGATCATTTGCTAGATGGTATTTTATTCACTGATGAAACTCTGAATAGTCATCTGCTTGCAGAGTACTAGCTCAGTGAGCTGTGTTGACTGAGTTGACTGAGTGGCTGATGTAAATACCATCACTGCAATTATTGATGCTAACTGTGCTAATAGTGGTTGCCGCTTTTGAGCATCCTTGTGGCATCTGTCGCCAAGGCGGTAAACAGCTGCTAGCTTTTTTTGAGTTAGATGTCTGAGGATGTCATTCATATACCTGAGTGCAGCAGAGCAGTGCTGATGGTCAGCTAGGTAGAGTTGACTGCAGTTGACACATTGTGGCACTCTCTTGCACTTCGTGTTTGTTGACCTTTAATGCTGGCTTATGAGCTCACTGCAGTTGGAGCATCTTGCCAGTTACACCTATTTTGATGAATGGCAGAACCTCTGACATTCTGAATTATGTCTCACTGTCAAAAACCTTTTCTCAATCAGCCTGGCTTTCTCACTGACATTGAAGAGTGGGAAGCCTTTCATTGAGGCAAGAAAGGAGACAATTCATATAATCTTCTCTGTCTTGAGATTCACCTTATGACATGAGGGGTGACAGCTCACTGACTTTATCTTTATCCGAGTCAGAACCTCTTCTTCAATTATTTTATTTATGAAGATTTTTATCTTTTCTCAGTTCTGAACAAATTCTGAAATATCTAAGACAATATAATTGTATCACTGCTCTAGTAGCTGGATTTTTGTGATGTCAAAAACTTCACAGAAAGTAGTCACTGCTTTTTCAATAATCAGAATGTCATATATGCCTCTGTTGTTTGATGTGATCATTCAATCTGTTTTAATGAGCTTCATCTTCAACATATTATCCACATTTCTCACTCTCTGAATGTTTGCAATGATTGTCTGCTGTACAGTATATGACTGTAGTTGAGTGATTTATTTCTCTGATTAAAGAGTGATAAGAATTTATGAATTCTTCTACTGTTTTATACTCTTACACTGTAGAGTCTCTTGATTGACTGATGCTTTTGAGTTGCAGATTAACTCCACTAACTCTGTCTGCTGAGAAAGCTGCAGTTTTGACAGAGATAATCTCAGAAAAGACAGAATTTTTCCTTCTTTGAGCAACATTTATTTAGATAGTCAGCTTTTTCACAGCTGTCTTTACTGTATTTAATTGTGGATGAGTATTCAGAACAGCACTCTCTCTCAAAATTGATACTGCATTTAAATCTACTGTCACATATTTGACAAATCTTTCATAGAAGATTTGAGCAAAGTTCTGATTGACTGACTGCTTCTCTTTCTCAACTCAGCTGTTCAGAGTCTTCATCAATTTAATGAGAATTTTCTATTGTAAATTTTGTTGCTACTAAGCCTTCTCAAACTGCTTCTGCAGTTGACAGATGGCTGTGAGGATGCTGTTACTGACTTCTTTGAAAATTGAAGAAGGCATTGTGACAGTCTTTCTCTGCCTCTTGCCAGTCTTTTCAATGACAAAATTGACTGGGTGACTTCAGCTCCAGTGGCATAATGTAGGCTGTGTCGATGTTCTTAAGCAGATGAAAGGGCATTAAGAGCTTTATGACCACTCAATCTGTGCAGTACACACACATAGAGAAATCACAGACAGCATGCAATGATATTGAATGAGTTGGAGGGTTAAAATTATATGAAAAATAGTTGAAAAAGTGGAAAATTCAAATGTATTTCTATGTTCGTAGGTAGTTGTAAGAATGTGGTGATATATGAATTGCTTTACTGATATGATTGTGAAAGTTATATAGATTATATTTCAACTTCCACTGAGATTGAAATTTCATATAAATTTATTGAAAGTTGAATTGAAATCTGTTTTATTAACAGTGGAGATCATCTTCAATTTTAATTTAATTTTCAAAATTTTCATTTTCTCAACAAAACTCTTACATTTCTGCTTTTCTATTTCACATTTCATAAATAAACATTGAAGGTTTCTATTTTCAGCAGCTCATTCAGTGATTTCAGAATCAGAATCATCACTGACTGAAGATTTGAAAGAGTTTTCTTCAAAATCATCATAATGAGATCTCATCTCATTTAAAGCCCTGATCAATCAGCAGAAGATGATGATGAGTGTAGCATCTCATCATTAAATGAATTAATGATGAAGTGATTGACAACGATTCAGAGCTTTTAAAAACTGAACTATTGAATGTGTTAGATAGATATTTGTGAGAAGAATGAGAATAATGATATGATTGCAACTGTAAAATATCATCTATATCTTCAACAGTTAGATTGAGAGGTTGCCTGTGAGAACGCGAGTGGTCATGACAGTAGGTTATATTTGAATTATTCTTCAGCATTTTTAGTAGTAGCAGTAACCCTGCTCTTTGTATTGAATCTTTACCAATATAAGCTTTTATGGTATGGATAACCGCCGATAGAGTGTTTTTTTTTATTTGAATGTTGTGTGTTCCACTACACTTTAGTGAGCAATAGTGTGAAAATCAAAACAAGATATCAAGAACGCGTCAATTTGAATAGAATAAGATGATTTTAACCACTGAAAGATGTATTGAATGAAGCAATAAGCAAGAAAAAATGATTATATCAACAAGGAATCCTGAATTGGCAGCATTGTGTGCAAAATGGGCCTCATAATCTGTGAGAGGTGAAAAGCTTGATTGATTAATTGCTAGCTAAGCGGACCATTTTATATAGAGTAAGAGCGTTACATGAGACACGTGGTTGTCTCACAAAAGTAGGTTGAAGATAATGATGATACAGCAGATTACAGAATTTTGCTTGTGTTATTTTGTTTTTTACAGTTATTGCTGTACAGACATCTATCCTCAAAGAGGAAATCAGGGTTCAAATCTTGTAATTAAATTGTTATTGCATTTTTAGAAGAATTGAGCAAAGAGGGGGCTCTGCCGCCTTTTGTGGCCACGCCGCCCACTATGTTGGGGGGCACGTGATAGAGTAGCCGTAGTACCCCCTAACACCCCCCCGTGCTACCCGTTGTGTTGCTCTCGCGTACTCCGTAGATGGTTTAAGTGGTTGTATTAACATGTCGGCAGCTGAGGCATATATGTGCGGTGCGCTAGTCCGTGATAGGCAGCCTAGGGCCAACACGTTATCCTTCTACAATAGTTGTTAGGGGGTACGGAGTAGTTAGTTTAGTAATAATAACAACGAACGTTATCCTCACCACAGAAGACTCCCGGAATTGTGTCCGCACCACAAAGATATTTTCATCAAGAATCTCAACTATCCTTAACTATTAGAAAATTAATTATTCAGCCACAATATGACCAAATTTTCTCAATCAACTGAAAAAGGCTGTAGAAGTGTATAACTGTGATAAAACCCAGAAAATCAAACCTCTGTTGCGAGAATATAAGATCAACTATCAAATCCTTTACAGAAGGATACAGAGAATCAAATCACAGACTGTGAACATGCCATTCAATTATCTACTGAATTCCGTGTAAGAGAAGGCCTTGGGAATATGGATTACACAGTTGGGTAAAGCTGGACAGCCTTCCACTGTTGAGATGGTTTGAAAATATGCTCAACACAGGAGAGATCTCAATCAATATCTTACAGTTCACCAATGCCAAACTGAAAAAAATATCATGAAGACAGGTTAATATAGAAAAGATGATGACTGTAAAGCATGTAAAAGAACAGATTTCACTGCATAAAGTAGAATACATAGATATCACTGAATAGATTTCAACAAGAGCTTGTAGCTTCTGCAAAGAAATCAAACACTGAGATTACTCAACAGCAGGAAAATGCTAATATTTTGGATCATTCCGATGAAGAAGATACTGAGTATGTAGATAATGAACTTTTTATTATAGATAGATGTGATCATTGGGACTTTTCCCACATTGACATTACAAAATAGTAAGAAAATATCATTCCGGTGAAAATATGGTTGCACCACCCAAAAGGGGGAACTCGCGGGCGGAGCACGGGCACAATAGTGCCTGAAGGATAGTGCTAGAAGCAATTGGGTACCTAAAAACTTCGCTTTGCATCCCAACATGTCCGCTCATAGAGAGATAACGAACGAAGACACACACACAGAGTTTCCTTGATCTGGAGCATAAGTACAAGGTCCCCTTTCATCTGCATAGAGAAATCCGACCAGCTCGAATTGAGGAATACGCTGTCGTTGGCAGGGTTGGGTACCGCCAACTATTTAGTAATCCTTTCGAGCATCTTTAGCGACAAGCGTCTCGAACTCAACCCCAGCATTACGCTTTAATATTTCAGGGGGATAAGTGGGTGCGATGGATAAACCGTTTGCTAATAAGTTGTTTGGAAGACCTGGTTAGAAAGGCGCGGAAGACTTATTGGGATTTTCTCCCGCTCAAGTAATAGATACTGCAAATATGTCTACCGCCTCCCAATAGACCTTATCATTCAGCACCGAGGTTCTATGGCAAGGAAAGGAAAGAAAAAGACAGTTGTGTGACTGTTGTCCTGGATACATACACGTAAAATATATAGTTGGGGATGTTATGGGAGAGCGAAACATAGAAACAAAGAGGGTAAAGAAGAAGGGAAGCTTCGAGAACACCACGAAACAAGCAGCGTCAGATCCTGCACAGAAAGTAGTCGCCGTAACAAAGTTCACAAAGGAAAAAGAAAACAAAAGTGGGCCATAGAAAGAAAGAGAAATACAACACCACGCCAAAGAGAAGGATACGAGGCAGTGTCGAGCAAAAATGTTATCTCGAGTTAGGGTCACAATTGGAAAAGACTCGAAATGAAGTATATGATAGAGGTACTGGCTGTATAAATAATAAACAGGGAGAAGACCAAGGACTGGAAGAAGGGGGGGGTTATGGGGGGATTTAAAAAAAAAAAAAAAAAATGAGAGAAAGGGAGGTGGACAAGGGAGAAAACGAAAGAACATAAGAACACACTCCTGCCGCTATGCCATCAATGAGGAAAATTATAATAGAGACCTCGAAAACGAAAGTAATACATGGTAATTGGTTAAGAAGGAAAATAGCGCGGGAAAAAGAGGGGGAAACGGGCTTAAGTGTCCAAAATCTAACCAGAACGCGCAAACCCCATGAAGGGTCGTCGTCGGTCTGTACTGGGTGCATGCAAAGTAGCATCTATTTTCACTCTAGGGGCAAGGTGAATGTGGGGAGTAAATCCGTGCGTGCAAGCTCATTCAATGGATATTGAGGGAGATGTGGGTATAAAAATTCATGTAGCGCAAACTACCAGGCAAGCATGTAATGGGACGATTGACGAAATGGCCTGGAAGATTAAAAATCATTTCCATCATCCGAAAAGACAGTTACTTTTTGTCACCACATGTCATCATCATCGTCAAGTTGTGCCTCGTCACCAAACGAGGATCGCGACGTTCCATATTGCGGCCGATGGTTCGATCCGTGCGCGGAGCCATTTTGAGAGTGCCCACGTCCTCCAGATGGGGACCATTGCTGATCATCTCGGCCATCGCCATCATAGTCATAATGGGATTCGTTATAGTACGGTCCATTGTTGTAATGATCATGCTCCCGGCTCTAGGAGGGCAAAAATGAAGTTAGAAAACTTCCTAACATCAGGGCTAGAAAATGGGTAGGTTGAACATTCAGAAATACTCACTTGATGTCGGTGTTGTTGGGAATGGTCCTCGGACTGTGAATGCTCTCTCTTCCGATGTTGAGCTTGTGGAGCAGAGATACTTAATGTAGGATGCATCTGTTGTACCTTGGCGAGATATGAATACATGAAATTACTTAGCAGAACTTGCGAATGTAGCGCGCGTTTTGGTTCTGCGAGTTTCCAATGAGCATAGCGGTAGATTTCCCTTTCCTTGGAAATTGGAAACCTGGTCCAGTTGTAATCGATATCGGGTTTGAGCTCCCGTCGTAGCGGCTCGGGTGAAAGTGCCCTCGACGAATGTTTCTTTTGGCTGTGGTCAAGACTTCCCTTCTTCTTGCTACCAAATATAGAAGAGAATAGGCTTGGTTCTTTCTCCTTCTTTGACTCACTACCAGCGGCTCTCTTTGCAGTATCTTTCCTGCGTTCGTCTTCTAATCTAACCTCCGCACGGTCGACAACGATGCTCTCTCTACCTCTTTGAGTCCCGTCGATAGATGCCTGCAAAAGATCTAGGCGGGTGTTGTCGTGCATCTTCTCGGTTATTTTGGGCATTCTTCCCTTAGATTTTTTGGACTCGTCCTCTTTTTTCTTGTCCTTATCTTTTTCCTCCGATCCTCGGAGCCAAGTCCAACTTGATTTTCGGCCACCATCTCCATCCTTTTTATCTTTCCCCTTCTTCGAATCCGACCTCCTATAAGAGCTGTCCGTTGATGTCGGGATGAATGAGAGCGTATCCGTTCGTGTGTTGTTACCGGGAAGCGCTGATGGGTGGGAAGCAATGTCGTCAATTGTCTGGGGACTTTCTTTTGCCGGCCGAATAATTCCGGCTCTTTTGGAGGCCCTGCTTCCAATTGGCTCTGGAGGGAGGGGTACTTGTGGAGGTTGAGAAGGGGGTGGGTCGTGCGAAGATTTCCGTACGGGAATGTGGTTTGGTACGGAGACAGTGACGGTAGCTGGAGATTCTTTCACGACTGCTGGTGGGGGTTGTATGATTTGATGGAGGTTCTGGGATGTCGTGGATGTCTCTAAACTTGAGACGCCGTTAAGACTTAATGATGGCCGTGTCTGTGAATTCGAGGTCGAATTGCCCGAGGATAAATTATCCGAACTAAATTCTGGTGAACTGGAGAGGTCGCTAGTAGAAAGGTTGGGTTGAGACCGGGTGGTTGACCTTGAAGAGCTCGATGCGTTTCCATGTGTTGGATCCGTCGAAACTCTAGTTAGTCCCAGAATAGGGGGCTCTTCTTCACCTGATTGAGGTGACCGTCGAGTGGCAGCTTCAGCGTCAGGATCGGATTGTCTCAGTGCGCGCCTCGAGTACGGGATCCGTTCTCCTGTTTTAAAACTCCCTCTACGATAGGTTGTCCGGGTCGATCTCCGAAGGCTGTGGCCAGGGGGCGCAGCAGGTAATATGGGTCGATCGTCAGCCATTGAATCTTCCCCTCGCCTCTGCCCGATAGAAGCCTCCTCCGATACTGCCTCAAGCTGATCTACTTCATTTTGCCGTTCCGAGCCCGAGGTATCTATTTGTCTGGACAACATGGATTTCTTCCGTCGCAGCCCTCCAGCCGACCCTTGCACCTGTAGTCCGGAATCGGTCATTTTAAGTTCTCCTGACCTCCGCTTTATCTGCTCTGCTTTGCCATTAAGAAAACTCTTGAACTCTTTGGGGGCTAGCCCTGGGTGCAGGCGCGCGGGGACCCAAAACAACTGCGATGCATCATCATCAGACTGGCCAGAAGGGGGAATTGGGGGGACACCGAAATTAGAGCCGAACAATGGGAGATCCGGGTCGGCGGCCCCCACATCCATTGACATTCTGCGAAGAGCGGCGAGGTTCGTGAGTTCCTGGGCAACAGCAGCAGCAGGGTTTGAGTCATAGTCTAGGTCATTGAGTGGAATAGATTTCGAGGTGGCTGTCGAGGGAGAGCGGGTTAGGACGGGCGAGCGTTGGCCTGTAATATCTCGATCACTTGAGCCCGGCTCCGTCGTCGACTGGCGACCAGGGCCATTTGTAGTCGACCTGTCGATTGAACTGGTCCTGATAGGAAGCGAGCGTTGGTTATTGTTCGAATCAGACGACTGTGGGGGATTTTCGCGATGCGGGGAGGTAACAGAAAGAGTTTCGGCCATGGAGGAGGGGTTGTAGCTTAGTCGCTTCGAATCCCTTTTGTCGTAATCATCGCCATACATGTAGCCAATGGTTTCCGTAACATGTTGGCTATCGTCGCTGATAGAAAATTGTGAAGCGTGGCCCCGACGGGGAGCGTATCCTTCATTATACTCATAAGATGAAGTCGAGGCCTATGGAAATCGGCGAATATCAGCCAGCTTATCCAATCTGCATTCTCAGCTGAATAGACAAATAGCCTTGTGCGGATAATATAACAAACACAAGGTTCTCAAAATGGGTGACAGTGAATTAAAGTGTGATTTAACGAGAGAAAAACAACACGGGAGATAAACGAGGGAACTCCGTCTGACTCCAGCATCTGGCGATCTTCTCGTAGACGAAGCGACGTAATCAGACAACGGTTTGTTGAAGATAGGGGCAAAAGGTACAATAGGGACAATGGGGACAATGGGGACAGCAACGGGCTTGCGTCGAAGAACCAGAGAAGAGGGGGAGGGCTTGAATCAGCCACCCGATAGAGCGGGGGAAGGGGGGGGAAGGTTATGTATGTGGAGTATCACAACTTCGCAGGGGGGGCGTATAGTGTATATATTGAGCGACGACGAAACTCACCTGCATCATGAAACAGGCGGACAAACTGGAGGACAGGAAGCGGGAGACTGAGATGGCGGATGAAGAGGACAAGGGGCCACTGGAAATGAGCGATCGAACGAGCAACCTGGGAGGGGACGGGCAGAAACGCCAAAGCGAAGGGGGTTCAAGGTGGAAGGATCATCGAAGCGCGGCGAGTGAAGACGGGCGGCTGGCACGAACTACAACAAGTCACATAATACATCCACAGCGGAGCGAGAACGAAGTTAGGATTACGAGAAAAGGAAGGGCGTAGTGGCCACCATGGGAGAAGTGAGAAGACCGGTCGACAGGAAGCAAAACAAGAGACGGCTCTTTGGTGAGGATGGAGGTTGGAGGATGGTTGGAAGTTGGGGGTTGGAGGTCGAGAGTCAAGCGATTTGAGCGATTTGGTAAGAAATCGATTATTTGAGGAGGGATTGTTATAGCAATCACAACTAACTACTGCATGGCCGCCATTTTGATAGTTGTAAATCATGCTGTGATTTATCCTGATGATCTGCCATTCCACACTACATAAATAACTAAAGGTTTTAACCTGTTTAACCCAAACACCGTTAACTAGTTATTTTTGGAGGTAGTTAACTTATCGGGGTTTTCACTCTCATAGGAGGAAAGGCAACCAACGTAAATAATAGAAACCAAACCGGAATTGTTTCAACAGCCAAAACACCAATTAATAGTCACCCTCCCACTACCATGAGCTCTTAATCACATGGCGACCTCCTTTTAACTACGCGGTAGATATCGATGGGTACGAAGGAGACGTTGCACGCAGTTTACTACGGAGTAGTATGCACTTGGTTGACAGCCTGACAGCCCGAGAGCCTGAGGGAATGGAACTCATAGATTCTAAATTTATCTACCCACTCGCATAACTTCCTTTACTATGTAAATGTTGTTCATGTGCAATTTTGGTGTGCACTCGAATCTTACACGCGTTGGATGTGAGCAGGTAGAGTTTCTCCTCCGCATTTGTTTGACCAGATAATCAAATGAATGCTCCATTACCAATGCATTATGCAGATAAATGTTCCGTGCTGCTGGCCGTCCGTTGAATATTTTTCCACATCGCAGTGTATATGCTTATATCAAGATACCCTTTAGTTGAACGGTGCAAAATGTTGTGGACGCGATAACGATCTGGCTTTGTGATCTGGAAGAATTATATTTAACTTTTCGGTTTTCAACATATATAGCATCTCTAAATTCCACCACGGCGGGGAGTGTGTCCTTTCCCCGTAGGCTGTAGTTTTACAGGAAGGTCTCCAGATATTGTAGGGAGAGCCACTGCGTCTTCATATATCAAGTGCGAGTTGTGGTAACCCGACGAATTGTCAACCAGATTGTAATGCTGATAGTTTAATTTTATTTGAGATAATTTTTTTTGTATTTAGGGTAGGGTGGGAAAACTGCACTCAAGAGGTCTAGGGATTGAAATATGTCGCTTCTCTTAGGGGAGTTTTCTACATTGGGATAACAGAGATTGCACAATAACCTGTGAAACATACGAGTGGGACAATTAACTAAATGCTGCAGAATATCGCCATGATCAGAGACATATTCTATCCAACAAAAATGGCAGCATTCACAATCCTTGCACCTGTCTTCTTCTTTCTCACAATTTAAAAAGTCTCAAGGAAATCTAAAGAACATATCTGCCTGCCATCAAAATGAACAGGAAAATACAGCAACATGCTTGATGATGCACAGCAGTTCCGCACAATGGGTAGCTTGCATTGAATGTGAACAGTGATGGAGTTGTGGAAAAGTACTGCATACATTGCAAGTGACCCAAGCCAGGAATCCTGAAAATCCAGCATTCCATTCTCTCAATGTTCTATGAGCTCAACTTCCTTTTTTATATTTTGAAAAAGCCTAACAAGGTGTGCCATCTTAATGCTCTGAGAATTAAGATTTCATTAGCTTGGTGATCCGCTCAGGACAGATCAAGCCCCCTATGTTCCTCTGATCACACATTGACAACTGCAATTTATTGTCATTGAGGAACTTAACAAGCCTATTCCTGCACAACTGACACCTCAATTTCAAGTGGTGTGATTAGGAATTGTAGGATCAGTTGAGTTATCTGAGCATCTAACCTTTCCCATAGCAGCTGTCAATGTTAATGAGTGCTGACCAACACACAGAGAGAGTTGGTTCATTAAGACCATCATAAAATAAGGTATGAGAGATATCTGAGTACTTAGAGGAAGAGGGCATTAGATAATTAAGAGTGTATGAAACAACTCCCAGCTCTCTATGTAACTGATCACTGCCTGGTGATGCTGTAGATTGACAGATCAAACTCTCTCTGAGATCACTATTGCAGTTCAAAACCTGATCTGGGTTTTGTTTGTGTCTGAAAAATGGAATGATGTGTTCAAACTGTAAATGTAAAATTTTGGTTAACAAATAGTCTTCTCTTGCATCCCATATGTCATGGTTATGTTTGACAAAGAGAGAGAGAGAAGCACCAACAAGCTCAAAAGCATGCAGAGAAAGAGAGAGGGAAAATGCAACAATTGAGAAGTTGGTCTCATGTTGAAACAGAGAATGTAGACATCCGAATTGAAAAAATATATATCAAAAAGAAAAGAATCACTGGAAGGTTTCAAAATGCAGAGAAGGTCAAAACGAAACAAGAAAGAACAAAAAAATACCCAAGAAATTGACATCAACACGTATATAGACACACTCATCAAATCCTAAACTAGAAGAGTAGAACGCATATTGTTGAGATGGGTAACAAGAGAGGCGATAAAGCTGTTTATTCGGCTAGGGTAATGGTGGTGTGGCACGGATATTCGCTTGAACGAGCATAATTCACTGGTGAGAGAGGTAGAGGTTGGAAATCATTGGGACAGGTGCGGTTGCGGAAAAAGGAAATGCTTGCACAGGTCTTTCGTCGTTTGCTGGTGCCCTTGATAGCATTTGGGGATGTACCAAGGTCACAGTCCAGAAAACGCCGGTTAGAGATTTGAAGCGTCAACGTAGTTACTAACGGATAAACAATTAGTTTGTCGCTCACGACAACACAGACATCAGACGTATCTGTCTATATATAACTCTGAAGAATAAATCTAAGTTGATTAAGAAGCCCTTACCTAGGAAAAATGCCGGTTCTATCACCTATGCGCCCAGTCCACCAGTCCTCTTTCTTGTCTGTTCTTTTGAGAATGGTAATGATCTCACCCTTTTTAAATCCCAAATCGCCTTCCTGGTCAGCATCAAAAGTGAACAATGCCACGACTTGGTCCTTTTGCAATGAAGCAGCCTCCCCTTTTGAGCCGAAAACTGGTTTGGGAGCTGTGGGACGTGTCGGCCTTCTGTCGCTGTACATATAACCATCTTCACCACCGCGGTTGTAATTATCGAACGTCTCCCTTGGATTAGCTCGTGTAGTGTAGGATCGATGCATGCCACCGCTAGGCGGTTGCTGGTCGTAAACATCGTCAGCCCATGTGCTTGCACGCCTTGGTCGATCATGGTATTGGTAGTCATCTCGCGAATTTAAAGATCCTGTGCGGTCTCGTCGCACACCTTCTCCAAACGCATCACCTCGTTTCCCCTCCCAAACAACTCTGTCATGCGAGTTGTCATATATGGGGATATCGTTGTACATTGAATCGTTCCCAAAAGCCGCGTTACCAGAGAACGCACGTGATTGAAGAACAAGCATTAGTGGTTCTGCCGCAGGGGGTGGGCGGATTGATCCTTCAAGTAGCTGGCGAGCAGATACTTTGGAATTATAAAGTCGTTCATTGGCATCCTTCCTCTCCACTAGTACGCTTCCCTCCAGGCTTACACCCGCAAAGAGGCCTTTTGTCTTGGAGTACGAAAAAACTCCAGCGACCCCCTTGGTGCTCGCGGCTCCAGCAGCTTCAGCGTTGCGCCCAATGGGTCCGGCCGCAATAGAAACATTGCCTCCTAATGTAATACTGCCTGCCTGGGAGAACGCCCTGACGGCGTTATAATCATTTAGAATGAAAACAAAATCTGTCAACTCAAGCCCGATCTGTCCACCAAATCCCGCCCCGGCCGTTGCGATTGCGGACGGCGCTGACCACGAATTATCTGCCAAACGAGCGACGACAATACCTGAGCCGAATCGAGCTGAGCCTAGAAAGCCTGCTTTGATCACAGTGAGGACCGCAAGCCCCTATCCTGCAAAATCAGTGACCGCTTTCATAAAAAGTTCAACAAAACATCCATCAAGTTCTTAATCCATCACAACATACCTTGGCGTTTGCTAATATCTGAGGGGGAATAATTTTATCTGGGCCAAAAGCTTGACGGGGATCAACGAAAGAAGCGAGAATTTTCCCAGCTTTTCTGCATTCGCCTAGTTTTCCATCAGATATCAGAATGTCAAGGAGCGGCACGAAGTATTTGGAGTCAATACGGGGATACTACTCACTCCTCATAGAAGAGGGAAGCGGATTATGTATTCCTAGAGGCATATTTCCGTACGCGGTAGTTGGGTAAAGATGAGCGGAGAAGGGAATGGGGCTTTCGCTACGTATATAACGCCGGATGAATGCTAGCAGGACGGGAAATGGGAAAAGAGGAGGAGGTGGTGGTGGTGGTGGCTTGTGCACAAACGGCGGGTGACTGCGGCAGAGGCTTTACTGAGGCTCCGGTCCGTAGATCTAAAACGGCGGTTTTGTTGACTCCGCTGTGCCTTCACATCCTAATATGTACAGGATACGGAAGGCTACGGACGCAGCCACGAGCCACGATGTTCTTGAGCTGCGGCGAAACGGTGTGATGACAGTGAGGAGACAGAAGAATGCTGGAAAGCTTTTGGCTTGGAGTGGCTGAGTCAGTGACGATAGCCGGCGGTTATTACGGGCGTAATCATCATTTCGCCTAGTAAAATCAAACTCAAAAAGACTCTGCTGACAAAACCGTCAGAACTTCGAGATCTGTTATTGCTACCCGTGGACGGCTACCCCAGGCACGTGCCACCCAACATATTATGTGTTGGGGGGATTGGATTGGGTGATTCGTACCCTCTATACCACCACGGCGCTGGTGGTGATTGAGCTCTTTTGCCCTAGTGGCCTAATATTATGTTGCTCTCGCTTAGATAGTTAACAAATATGTAATCTGTAATCTGTACACAACCACTAGTTGTTCCTCCCACAGGATCGAATGTCACGTGTCTATAAGCGCGGTACGCGGCTGATAGCAGCTTGAGGTGTTTGGTTAGTTTGTTCCTTTGGCATTGTTCCTTGGGAATATGGCAGTGATGCATACTCAAGTCCAGATTGAACCAAGACACATTAAGCAATAATATATATCAACCATTGCAAGTATATTGACATGGGAACAGGTAAGTTTTCTATCTGCAAGGAGTGAAATTCCCTTACATACGTTTGTTCTTTTATCTACAGGGCTCTTATACTCTCGTGCTCTAGTGAGGATTTGTGTGTGCGGCGACGAAGGAACTGGGAAGTCTAGTTTGATCACTTCCCTTGTCAAGGGCGTCTTTGTCACAAACAAGATCCAGCCGGTCCTGCCTCATATCACCATTCCTCCGACTATTGGCACTCCTGAAAATGTGGCCACAACCACTATTGTAGATACCTCCGCCCTTCCCCAAGAACGAGCAACCCTGGCTAAGGAAATCCGAAAATCCAATGTCATTTTACTGGTATACTCAGACCACTACAGCTACGAAAGAGTTGCCCTGTTCTGGTTGCCATACTTCCGCTCCCTAGGTGTTAATGTCCCCGTTGTTCTATGTGCCAACAAGTCAGACCTTACCCCTGAAGGCAATGGGTCCCAGGTTGTTGAGGATGAGATGCTCCCGGTAATGGCAGAATTCAAGGAGATTGACTCCTGCATTCGAGCCAGCAGTAGGGAGCATCGTAATGTCAACGAAGCATTTTTCCTTTGCCAAAAGGCCGTCACACATCCCATTGCGCCCTTGTTCGATTCCAAGGAATCGACTCTGAAACCCGCTGCCGTTAGTGCCCTTCATCGAATCTTTTATCTGTGCGACAAGGACCGTGACGGATATTTGAGCGATAAGGAAATTACAGACTTTCAAGCAAAGTGCTTTGGTAAACCTCTGAGGGAGGAGGATCTGGTCCATATCAAGGAGACTATACGCAGGTTTTACCCAGATGCTGTCACACCTGCTGGCATCAGCGTACAGGGCTTCCTACAACTTAATAAACTATATGCTGAAAAAGGACGACATGAAACAATATGGATCATACTACGGACATTCAAGTACACGGATAACCTGTCTCTACAAGAAGATTTTCTCCACCCTCGGTTCGAAGTGCCCCCCTTTGCCTCGGCGGAACTGTCTCCCGCTGGCTATCGTTTTCTTGTCGATTTGTTCCTTCTCTCAGATAAAGATAATGATGGTGGACTCAATGACACGGAGCTGGCATCTCTGTTTGCGCCTACCCCGGGATTACCTCCCTCTTGGATAGAGGGTGCCTTTCCCTGTTCAACTGTACGAAACGAGACTGGCCACATTACTTTGCAGGGTTGGCTTGCACAATGGAGTGTGACTACATTTACATCACCGAAAACCACACTGGAGTACCTAGCTTACCTGGGATTCGAGTCATCCGACCGAGGGAACCCAACAACCACTGCAGCACTTAAGGTGACCAAACCACGGAAAAAGCGGCAACGCCCTGGCCGTGTTGGCCGTAATGTTGTCATGTGCTATGTCCTAGGAGCCCCGGCCTCAGGAAAGTCATCTCTCCTCGACGCATTTCTCTCGCGTGGCTTTAGCTCGACATACCATCCCACCATCCAATCACGCACCGCTGTCAACACTGTGGAATTGCCTGGCGGCAAACAATGTTACCTCATCCTTGACGAACTGGGTGAGCTTGAACCTGCGCTTCTCGAAAACAAAGCCAAACTTCTGGACCAATGCGATGTGGTCGCATACACCTATGACTCTTCTGACCCTGACTCTTTCGCCTATATTCCCATGCTGCGGGATAAATATCCCCACCTAGCGGAGTTACCAAGCGTATTTGTTGCCCTCAAAGCCGATCTGGACCGGACGACCCAGCGAGCAGAGTTCCAGCCAGACGAATACACCAGCCGGTTAAACATGCCCAGTCCACCTTTACACGTTAGCGTAACGTGGGATTCCATACAGGAGCTGTTTGTTCACCTTGCAGAGGCAGCGATGGAGCCCAGCACGGCATTTCCGCGAACTGAAGATGATGTTGAGGGGAAATGGATGGCATGGGGGATTGCGATTGGGGCGGTCGTCTGCGCTGGAGCGGCGGCTGTGGTTATATGGCGCAGAGCTACAGGTGGCATGAATTGAGTCACCCCTTGCGCCTTTGGCGTTTGGTGTTATATACTAGCAAGGCATCCATCAGCTGGATAGCCTATCATGCCAATATAGTAAATGTAGGTATATGAAGTACGATATCCATGTATATCAATGTGAAAATTGTATCCCCTCGTCCGTAGGTTTGTGCAAGATTAGCGTGGTTTCAATTAGTGTATGGAATTCTGCACCGGCGCCCTGGGAATAACCAATAGAATCCTATATAATTTTATATGAATAATAATTGGTCATTTAGATCCACTGATTGAAGATCCCATGTAGATCTTAAGAACGTGTATGGAATTCAATGCGTTTGAAGCCCTGCCTGCCTGCCTGCCTGCCTGATTCTCATATATTCACCCACCTATCCCTCTACCCGCGAATATGGAACCCCCCAAACCTGCGAACGTGGAATCCACTGAGAAACCTACTAAATCCAATGGTGAGTTCCTTATATTAATCAATTCAAATGACCTAGCTAACTAATTCATTCTCTAGTTCATACAAAAACATCAAGAAAATGAAAACAGTCTGTTGAGGAGGTTATTGCAGAACTTCCACCTCTAGAATCAGTGAAATTCCACTCAATACTGCCTATCTTATGAGATTCAATTCTCAATATTCCTGCAAATATCAATATTAGCAGTTCATACACTCTGTTTACCTTATTCTTCTTTGAAAAATGCTTTCAAAATATCAGTAATTCTACTAATCTTTACACAAAATTAAAGAGAGATACTAGAGATACTGATGATGAAGCTTCAGAGCTTTCAGAAATGAAGAAGAATGAGAAAGTTCAAGATATAAATATAGAAATTTCTGAATATTTATATTCTCAAAGCCTTCTATTCAGCAACATTCATGGAAAAATACCAATTCAGTGAAGATAAAAGTCTTTATAGGCATTCTTCTCTATATGAGAGTTCATAAATCTCATTGAATTGATTTATACTGGTGGAATGATTTGAAACAAGACTTTATTCATTCCATTCAATTCTATATGACTCATACATGTTTTGAACAGATTAAATGATATATCCATATATCTAATCCTCATGAAGCCCACCACCCGGAGGTCAAAAATAAAGATTGGTGGTATAAGGTAGAGTCATTAGCTACTAAGTTTCATATGACATGCTGAAAATACTATACCCCTGACTCTAAGATTTCCACTGATGAGATTATGGTTAAATGCTTTGAATAGAGTCAACATACATACAAGATGTTTAATAAACCAATTCCTCAAGAATATAAGATATTTGGCCTAGCAGAACATGGCTATTTATAGTCTTTTCCTGGTCTAGCTGTCAACAAAGTATAATGTCTATGTTTCAATTCTCTATGTTAACAAAAACTGAAGCTATGGTGGTGAATCTGGTGAAGCGGCTTTCTATGATATCCACACTGAATACACTGAATACCATGCTGAGTGCCATCTCTAATATCGACCCTAATATCACCCATAATATTGGCCCTAATATCAACCCGAATATCACCCCTCCAAATGCTACGCCAAATGCCACGCCTAATGAAATCTCTACAGCTGGTCACATCCTATTCAATTTATATGGATAACTACTTTATGTCAGTTCCTTTATTCAAAGAACTACATCAACAGAGGTATGAAGTATGTGGAACCACTCATTCAAACCAGGTTCCAGCAGTACTAGATGAGCTTTAAGAGCATTCAAATTTCATATTCTGAAATACTCTGCATGTCATTGAAAAAGAGAATGTTCTCTGTCTTGCCTGGCAAGATAATAATATGATATTGACACTAACTATGATTCATTCATTGAATGCAGGTATTGAATGTACTTGTAAATGCTCAGAGGAACTCTCAATCAATATCAATATTGTTAGAAAGGTCTTTGAAGATCAATCACAAAAGAAGCTGAAAATCCCATTGATTATAGATGATTATAATCATTATATGAATGGAGTAGATCTAGCAAATCAATACTAAGCAGTATATATTAGTTATAGAGTCATCTATCACATCTGATTTTCTATTCTCTACTGACTTATTGATTCTGCAGCTATTAATGCATACTGACTTCAATATCTATATATGAAGCAGCAGAGGATTTCAGTGAAGGATCTTCCTTCTCATATAAACTTTCATGAGAAGTTTTATCAGAAACTCTTTGAATTCACATCTAGAATTCATGATAATCTATCAAGAAAACAATCAAATTCTAATCTAAATCATCAATGGATTCCTCTTTCAAAGCAGCGTGTTTGTGTCTGGTGTCAATATAAATGAAAGATTGGCCAGCAGAAACATAAAAAGATAGAGAGATCAAATTCTGATTGTTCAGAGTGTCAAAATACCCCCTTATATTTGAAAACTTGATGTTGGGTGGAATTTCATAGTATATCCTAATATCTATTTACGCGGATCCTTAATTAGGGTTTATATATTACACTAATACCAATAAATACTCAAAAATACACTGATTATTCAATGAGATTTCGTATAATATACACTAATGAAACCACGCTAATTTTGCACAAACCTACGGACGAGGGGATAGCCTCTTTTCTTGGCAGTAACTAGCCCTGGAGGTAACTTTCCAAGGTTAGTGTAACATCCATGGATGGATGACCACGCGACGATCACCTGACTCCGACTTCCCCACACTTTCTGACGGAGCCGCTGCCCCATACAGCTGGTTTGTGGCTGAACTCAACCTCCTGCCATCTCTTCCTAAGTTGGATGATGGCAAACGCCTCTAGCTATCCCTATTATTATTATATCAACAACTTGCCCGGGATTTCCATCTCCTTTTTCGTTTCTATGTTCTTGGTTATTCAGGTTTAATTTTTGTGCAATTCGCTCGGGTACAAAGCGAAATCTCTCCCTCGTCGCTCGAGTTTCCCCCTTTCATGCGCAAAAGCTCGACCTCAGTCAGCCAAGCCGCCGATCATTTGAAACCCCCCTCATCATTGTCTGTTCTCTATTTGTCCTTCCACCACGTTGTTTGAGTGTTACGGTCACATCTTCTGCAGTGCCGTTCCCCATTAGGCGCATGTAATCTTTGGCTATAGGTGTCCATCTCTCCGACGCCATGTTGTAAGTTTCCTGGTCAAATTGCCCGATGTGGGAATAGTGAAGCTATATTACCTTTCTCTGGCAAAGCGGCTGCCATAATTTTTCAGCGTTTTCGTTATTAGTGTTCCATCTCATATGTGTATCCAGCGTACTACCTCCTCCTCCACCCCGCTATGCGATGCCTTTGGCATACGCCAATGGCACCGTAAACGGTATGCCTGTGCCAATTATCGAAACGACCAACATTATAAAACGTCCTGAAGGGGGCTGTTCGCTTCAAGTTGGAGAAGGTTGGTATCAAGCTGTTGCGTCCTGTTATTCTTCTGAACCTAACCAACTGATCACCGAATGTATAGGAACTTATATTCTTAGGGATGATCTGCTCCTCGCGACTCCACCGCCTCATCCGTCCGAAGCTCCTATTGTTAGCACAAACCCATTGGCTACGATTCCCCACCCTCCAACATCTGGCGTTAAGCTATCATTAGTCGTTGTCCAACCTCGCAAAACTATGCCTCATCTTTACAAAGCAAAGACGTCTCTGAGTGGGACGTCAGACCTTCAGAGCATCAGGGAAAGCGATAATGAAGTCCGGCCAACATCTAATACATCGGAGGCTTGTGGATCGGTACCTGCGTTTGGAGAGGGAAGCCTCGCACTCGCGACGAATATAGGCAAGGAGGGACCTGGTTTAAAGCGGCGTAAACCCAAGAACAATATCCTCAAAAGTAGTTCAACTTTCGTTTCCCGTGTTATTACTCACGATACGGCAGCGAAGAGACTGGCAGAGAGAAGCCCAGATGGCATCTATGCATTCGCAAATATAAATCGTGCTTTTCAATGGCTGGACTTGAGCTCCAGAGTAAAGCAGGAACCTCTTACCAAGATTCTTTTCACAAAGGCCCACATGCTTTGCCACGATGTGAACGAGTTGACGAAAAGCACAACACACTTGGATGTGATTATGGGCTCTTCTGTGGGGGATATCATGTGGTATGAGCCACTTCAGCAAAAGTATGCTCGCATCAACAAGAATGGCGTCATCAATAATTCTCCAGTAATCCAGATCCGATGGATTCCTGGCTCAGAACACCTATTTCTGGCAGCCCATGCAGATGGCACCCTTATTGTCTATGATAAGGAGAAGGAGGATGCTCCATTTGTCCCTGAATCTACAGATATTAGTCCCCCTAAAGCTGCCGATGAGAAAAAACCCCATAATTCAAGTCAACCATTGATCATTTTAAAGTCTGTCAATTCGAAGAATCAGAAAACCAATCCTGTTGCCTGCTGGAAGCCGTCGAACCACCGCATCAATAATATCGCTTTTTCCCCCGATAGTAGGCATCTGGCCGTCGTTTTGGAGGATGGATCACTCCGGATAATTGATTATTTAAAAGAACAGTGCGTGTACCCTTTTCTGACGTCTTTGGAAATAAGATCGTCACTCTTAACTAACCTTACATTTTTTTTTAAGAGTCCTTGACACGTTCACGAGTTACTATGGAGGAATGCTCTGCGTTTGCTGGTCTCCAGATGGCAAGTATATTTTAACCGGAGGCCAAGATGACCTTGTCTCCATTTGGTCACTCTCTGAACGCAAAATTGTCGCCCGCTGTCAGGGCCACCACTCTTGGGTCTCCTACGTGGCTTTCGATCCTTGGCGATGTGATGAACGGACTTATAGGTTTGGCAGCGTTGGAGATGACTGCCGACTGCTCCTCTGGGATTTCAGTGTTGCGATGCTCCATAGGCCAAAGGCGGTATGTTGCCCACCCTTCTCCTACCTTCTAAATACATCCTTCTGCTATTTCGGGGCAGTATACCCTGCTCTCACCCAGTTGTGTGTCTATGGAGCTGCTAACAATAAATTTGAATGCTTAATAGCTTCAAGCCACGGCACGGCAACGTACTAGCGTTGTAGCCCGTACCGATGCTCTTTCTCCCAATTGGGTAAGATCTGACTCGAACCGCACAGACAGCAAACCTGTGGAGAAGGAGACGGAGGATATGCCTACTTTCCACCCAGTTGAGCCTAGAGCGAGGACTGCACAACTACCTCCAATAATGGTAAGAGACCAATCTGCAGACCGAAGCCCCTTATAGATAATTTCGACTGATAATAGTCAACATTTGATAATAAAGTCCAAGGTAATTGGTGAAGATCCCATTTGTTGGCTAGGATTTCTTGAGGATTGCATTATCACCTCTTCACTTGAAGGTATGTCCATGGACTATATCCTCTTTTATCCGTATTTATATTTGTGGTAGTCTCTAATACCTTGCAGGCCACATCCGTACCTGGGATCGACCGCGAGAAAGCGTGAGTGAAGGCGTTCCTAATACGACAGTCTCTGGTTCAGAACAGGCAGGTGGCGCGGGGGACATTGCTCGGCCAGGATCGTACGATTCTCACGGCGGCTAGGAGAATGCTGTAGTTATGACTTTACGCCGTTCTCCTCCCCCCCCCATTTTCTCTTCACTTTTTCACCCCCTTCTTTTGCGTGCCAGAGCATCTGTATACTCACCCCATTTGGTTGACGACCCTTCTACCGTCTTACGCTGTCTCTTCTTGATCTTTTTTTTTTTTTTTTTTTTTTTTTTTTTTTTTTTTTTTTTTTTTTTTTTTTTTTCCCCTCCAAATGGTTCGATGCCCTATGCGAATGGATAGTTATGAAACAATTTTTCATATTCTTGTATGTATATATGTCTGTACATCCTAATTATGCCATGACGATTTAGGGAAAGTGCGGTGGAATATCCCACTTTCTTTTTTTCATTTTCGCTACATGTTTTTGATTCTTGTTGTAGATATACATCGATTTTTCAAGAGAAGTCCCTGTCATCAAAATGCAGTTCCCCGTCGTGTTTTATAAGGCTTCAATATCTGTTACGAAACGATATGCAGCCATTAGCACATTTTGACAAAAGCCAACTTGATCTATTTCATGGCGTAAATTTGGGCGTCGATGGCCAAGTAACTAAATGTTAGGCCACTGGGGCAAAAGAGTTCCATCACCACCAGCGTCGTGGTAGTATAAGAGGGGACGAATCACCCAATCCCTTCCAACTTGTTTGTTCAACATGTCACATGATACCACTTTTCTGTACCCTTGGAAGTTTCTAAGCGAGGACTTTGCCTCATCAACAACTCAAAGAAACACTCGATTGTCCTCAATCCCATGCTATCTGTATCACTTTTCAGCGTACGCGGTGCACTAGCCTCTACAAATAATGGCAGCAGTCTTGAACTCTCAACCAAAGATCCTCACCATCAACCGGCCAGACGCCCCACAAATGAACCAAACCTTGATGCAAGCCTTCCATGATGCCCTTGAGAACAGCCCCTCTGCGGACCTCCTATCTGTTTTCGGGGCTACATATGTGCGTGCGCATCGAGTAGCCCAATATAAGGAGCTTTCTGAGGCTGGCTGCCTCAATTTCCTAACCATTAACAACCTGCATGATGAGATCAGTGCTCACCCCGAAATCAACTTGCGCGATTATTTCCCCTCAGACTACGACCGTCGGTACAAATGGGTAATGCCAAATGCAACGCCAGAGGAAAGGGCCGCTGAGCCACAGCACCCAAAAGAGTCTTGTGACTGGCTCCGTGAGAGGCTTTCTAAAGTCGATACTGCCAATATTCTTTACCCACTATCTAATCAAGCCACATCGCTCCTGCAAAAGTATTACAACCTGAGCGACAGCTATTCTTCTTCGCAAACAGAGCTTGCGGCCTCATTGAAATCTCTTATTTTGCATTCAGAAAGGCTATTTGACCTGAGCACCCGAGGAGCCGTGGTCAAGTGCGGTAATGAAATTGCTATCAAAGTCTTTCCCAATAGCAGAGATCTGACAGAGTATCACAACCTCCAATACCTTGCTGATCACGTTCCTGAGCTTCCAATTCCCAGAGTCCATGGTCTGATTACCCTTGGGAATTTCCATGCCATGTTCATGTCGTATATCCCAGGAATCACCCTTGACAAAGCCTGGCCAGATCTATCTCATGAAGCAAAATTATCTCTTCAGAGGCAGCTGAACTGGATATTCTCTCAACTCAGGAACCTCCAGCAACATGATGGACCTCAACTAGGAGGCCTGGGTGGGGAAGGGGTCAAGGACTACCGCATCATGGAAATTTTTGCAAAAACTGGCATTACAACAGCAAGGCAATTTGATGAGCTGCAATTCTCTGCAAACCATCGTGCAAGTCCTTCCTATGTGAAGCTACTTCGTTCATTTCTGAGAAAGGAAAATAGGTCTCTTAAGGGTTCAGTGTTTACACATGGCGATTTGAAGAAAACAAATATCATGGTTGGAAAGGATCCCACCAACACCGATGCGTATATTATAACTGGAATCATTGATTGGGAGGAGGGTGGTTTCTATCCAGAGTATTATGAGTGTACAACTCTGTCGAACGGCCAGAGCATTGATTGTGACGATGACTGGTATCTATATGTGCCAGACTCAATTTCACCCTTGCGATATCCTGTGCGCTGGTTGGTTGATCGCCTCTGGGGAAACCTTTTGTGGAACTGGAGGACGGATACAGTTCGATGAAGATGGGCGGATGGTGTTTTATAGAACAGGATTTAAACAACCGCAACGGTTTTCCCTCAAGCAAGTTCTTCTTTCCTCGGGAGCCTCCACCGTGTCCTACTCTCACCGCAAACTGATAGCTTTCACTGATATGAAGCCCTCACTGCCAGGCTTCGCGTTTTTCCTTAATGGTTCTTTTCTTTCCCCGATAGTCCGCTGTATCTACAATGATACCATTCTGTTCCAGCTTATCCAGAACCTCGAGGATGAAATCCTGGCAACTGTAATCGGAAATATCATTACGGATAGGTGTCTCATACGCGATGCCTTTGACGGTTTCAATATTGCTTGCATCGATCTCACATAGGGAGCAAAGCTCGATAAGGGAATTCGAAATGTTCGCATCCGATCGCGCCCTCACCTCAATAAAATATTTATGACGAGCACCAAGGAGATGAATGATGGTCTTTTCACCTGTCTCTGCTGCATCGATGAACAAGCTCCAATGTTTGATGCCAGGGTTCTGGTAGATAGCAATCTTCAAAGGAATTGTAGGATGAGCCATTTTTTTTCTTTTCTGGATCATGGGCAAGGAAGCGAAATTTCAACTTAATATCTGCTCAAGGAGCGGGCATAATTTCATGGCGCAATCTTCGTTGTTTGTGGGGTAAGATTGGTCATAGTGTTTTCGTTGGACGTAGCACAATTTCCCAGCAGTTACGCTTTAAACAGCAAGCTTGGTTTATCATTATGCAACGCTGCCCAAAACGCGCCCTGCGACCAATTGTGGAGTGAGCAACATGCTACAATCACAAAGAAGGGCCATGTATGTGACTCCTCCAGAGAGCCTGAATTCGGACGACTCCTCTTTTTTTCAAGCTTGCTAATAATTGTTATAGGGTTAGGAATATCCCTTTTCAACTACCGTAGAGATATAAAGTCAGAGTTATATATACCTTTTAAACATGATGAGGTTCGCATCAATCAAGTAAATAATAATAGTACCAGTTATCTTTTTCATTCGCCCAGTGCAAGCAGGACAGGGACAGAGAAGGGAAAGGTGATGCCAGACAGCCAGTCGGCTTGACTTGGTCATTCAAGAATGCGAGAGATGTGCCGGTGCGACGTGTGCTATCCCCAGGTACGGGGTCCTTTCTGTGATGAGATGGGCTACCTTGTCAGATTAGGGTGGAGGCGTTGTATATTGCATTCGGACGTGACGGGCGCAATCACGCTGTAACTGGTCACTGATGGATGCTTGACTAGTCGTTTCATGGGCTGAGGTGGGGAGAAGCGTCGTCGGAGCGCCATGGAGGAAGAAAGGATTGGAAAGCGGTTGGCCGCTGGAAGTGGAAGTCCCATGGAAGTTCCATGGACGTTCGAAAATTAAACGGCCATTTATTTTATTGATGCGTAGGTGGATGATTGACACATCTTGGCTGGTATATGGTTGGAGAGCGGCGGCATATGCCATGTCTACAATGCATCATCATTAACATGAAACAGATGTTAACGTTGTGTGTGTTGGAGTATGACGCGGCTAAAATAATCAACCCTTTCCACCAACGATAGTTGATTTTTCTTCTCTTTTCCTTTCCTTTGTTGTTTTCCCTTTCTTGACAGCAGCTATGAACATATCTTCCTACGATGGTTGAACAGGGATTATGAGCAACGCCGGTGAGCGCTGGACTTCGCTGTAAGGCTCGGCATGACTCACTCGGCATCGCGTCATGTTACAAACTTGCAGTGGCTTCACTCCACCAGCGGCCCGTGAATACTGAACAGCCATGGCATCAGGCCACGCGAAAATAATACCAAAATCAACAATTTTTGGTGGCTCGTTGTAGGTACAGGTACAGGTACGAATACGAATACGACGCGCTCAACTCCATCGCATTATAATGTCGTTTTGTACGCCGCCATCATCAGCAATGGTTGAAGGATTTTGGAATTTGTTGATCTTGTTGCTCCCACTTCTTCACATGATATGGAGGAGGCAGGAGAATCAATGCGAATCCCGCATTCGAATATTCCGGCTGGCTACTTTGACGGAGGACAGTCCTGCCATATAAAAGAGTCTGCAAGCCAACTCAAGGAGCCTCCTCGTTTTGCTCCTCTTCCTTGTGTTTCTTAAGAGATGCGTCCACTCTCTCAGCGACAAAGAAGAACAGATTCGATAAATAAAGTTAACTATCGCATGGGTCTGAGCTTGTGGATTGCGGGTTTCCATATAGGGCGAAAATTTGACACAAGCTTTTTTTTAATTCATAATTAAACTGTTTGTTATTTTTATATCGTATTATGAATAACCCGATTAGCTTTACCACGGGTGACGATGGCTATGTAAGCTCCAGTCAGTGAAACAGCACGGTTCGGCGGGCCCTGCCGGGTTTGATTCCAAACATCCTCTCCCCAATTCCTCGTCTCCACCAGCTAGTCTAGGCCGCGTAGTTGGTTCTATCTAACTTTTAGTTTGCAAACTTATGGGTATCACGGCCCGTGGCCTTGGAGGAGCTGGACCGCTGATATTCTCGCTTCTTCTAACCTCCTCAGCTTTGTGTGAATACTCTGCTCCCATTCTCCTGCTCGCTCTTGATTCTCACCCCGCTTTTTCTCGTTATCTATCCTCGCGACCCTATGATTGCTCCAACATTTCTGCCATCGCCATTTCCACGTCCTGTCCACTAGGGATTCCTTGTTATTCCCTTGCTACCATGCCACTGAGTTTCCTGACTAACGGCGGAACCGCAAGTCAGGCAAAGTACTTCGATATCAGGTTGGCATCATTACTGATATACTCTGCACCTTCTTCATTATCCCTCTAGCGCACTGAGACCTGACCAATTCCCCATAGGCTTGATAACGATTATATTGTATTTCGCGGGAACGAACATGAAGCCGCCAGCACCCTGCTGAATGGCAAGTTGCTCCTTTGCCTCTCGGAGCCCCTGCAGATCAAATATCTGAGACTGAACCTCACCGGCATGTCGAAAATCCTGTAAGCTGTTTCACTCCGTTGGAAGGCTTTCGCACCAGAACCCCTAAGAAACATGTATGGTGAATGCTAATACTGCCTACGAATAATCTGCAGCTTCCATGGATCTGCCAGGCGCAGAAAGCCTGCGAGGGAACACACATTTCTTGAGAAAACATGGTCATTTAAAGATGCTGGTAAGAACAAGCTGGAGACCTTGCCAGCCGGCAACTATGACTTCCCTTTCGATATCATCCTCCCGGGATCTCTCCCGGAAAGCATTGAGGGATTGCGCGACACCTTCATCACATATCGATTCAAAGCGGAGATTGGCCGGAAATACGCCAAGAGTATCGTCGTGCGGAAGCCATTGAGGATCATTCGCACCCTCGATCCAAGCGCCCTGGAGCTGTCGCATGCAATGGTATGTACTTCAACGCACCCGCACTCATTCTTGCTATCACCCCCTTGGGGCCGTTCCCATTACTGCATTACTCCAGCTTACCGTTTCCGCAATAGTCTGTGGAAAATATATGGCCGAATAAAATCGAATATTCAATTTCAACCCCTTCCAAAGCACTTATATTCGGAACTTCCGTCCAGGTGGATTTTCACATTATACCCTTGCTTAAGGGGCTTACTGTTGGTACGATTTCGACACAGCTGGTGGAGACCCACGATTTCGTCTTAAATCCTGAAGCCGCCCAAGCCGACCAATTGTCCCATAAATGGACGAAAGTAATCCTTGACGACTCCTGCACGCTGGACCAACTAAAGAAATCCCAATCCCTGGATGGAGAGGTTGAGGGATTTGCTTTTTCTCGAATCTTGAACTTACCAAAATCCCTCAGCAAATGCTTACAAGACGTTGATACGCGAGGCATAAAAATCAAGCACAAACTAAAGTTCAAAGTCCAACTCCACAATCCGGACCGTCACTTATCTGAGGTATATTTTCCCATATTCACTGTTATCGATTCCCATGTGCTCTTTCTCGCGTTCACGTATTGGGTATGCATGGGATATTTGCTAACAACATGGCTCCGTGCGTCAACAGCTTCGTGCCAGCCTTCCTGTTTCGATTTTCATTTCTCCCCATCTCCCTATTGGTGACAATAATGACCTTGTTGATCAATCGGTCCAGTCTGCCCAGCGAGCTATCCATACTATGGCCCAGCAAGCGCCCCCTCTTTACGGAGACCATCGATTCGATCAGCTGTACAGCGAAATAGATTGCTCCGGATATCGGACTCCCGGGAGCACCAGTGGCCCTGGCACACCTTTGTTATCTCTCAGTCGAAGTCTCTCAGCAGAGAACATTAATGGCGCGGTGCCTCTAGGGCGTCAGCACATCTCTCCATCTGTTTTACATACCCGACTAAGCGACCTACACCTTAACGGCACCGCATTACAGCTGACACCTCCGAGCTCGGAATCCCCGGAATCCGCAGAATCAGCTCGTGATTCAACTGGCCAAGAACCCCAGCCGTTGGATTTCGGTAGCGGCATTCCCTCCATCAACATCCAGAGTCCTGGCGTTGTTACCCCTGCAACATCACGACCACCATCGGAAGATGGCAACATCTACTCTGGGCAGACTACTCCTAACTGTCATATTAGTGAAGTCGAGCACCTCTCCCGTGTCCCCAGTTACGCCACTGCAGTCCGATCGCATCCTTCGCCGCATTACTGTGAGGGGCTACCCGACTATCAAGCGGCCACTGCTGGAGATGCCGCTGGTATTTCTATGACTCCTGCGCTACCCCCGCAATCGCAGCAGGGGCGTGGTCGCAGGAGATCCCACAGCGCCTCGATATCTACTGAAATAAGACGTCGTCCACGGTTGCGGCTTCACGGCTGGAGTCATAGCGATGATATACAACAACAATTACGGATGCCTCAAGTTTCTTAATGCGAGATGAGAATCCATGCTTTAGTGTTTTCATACAAAGATATATGATAATGATGCCACTGTTTTATTCCCGAAACAATTAATCACCCTTGATATGATTCATACCTTTTTCCCTATGGCCTATTTGATATATTTATTATCCGTTATTACACCATCGAACGCATTTTCTTTATTTCTCTAACACGCTCTTATTTCGGGCCTGAAGGGTGTTGGATGGATTTGTATCGCAATTTTGAGAACACAATCTCTCTCTGTTTCAGAATGTGGGCTTGAAACATGTTCCAAAGGTCGTGACGGACGGAGGGAAACCCGTGACAAGGATGCTGACTCATCACCGAGGCCTTGGCATCGCCAGCCCTCCAGTCCACAGATTGGGCGCAGAACAGAACTTCAGCGGGTATTGCGCGCGGTATCAGGTATTCAGCATAATAGACCGTTATAATATATATACGATGAGAATCGTATTCTTCTAGTCTTCCTTGTCTAAAACAAATTGTGTTTTCTCCAAAGGCTAGCGAATCTTGCATGGCTTGCTCCATTTATCCCCGAAAGACCGCCAAGCGGGGAATGGTACCCCACCTCGTCGAATAGATAGAGCCTTTGATTCTCTCTTTGTGTGTGAGAGTGTGTGACTTCCGCACAACACTCCGTCGCTTTGGCTCTTGAAACACTATCCGTGAAACTAACAGTGTGCCCCTTTTCCTTTCAGAAAAAATCCTAAGACGATTGTTGCGAATTTCGCCTGGATCCGCCTCCAGTTAGCTTAAAAAAAGGGGGACCTTTTCACTTCTTATATAACTATCACTCGGACGCTACGTTATCACCATGGGGTTGGCGAATCTCCCTCAGCGGTCCGCTACTGTTAAGACTGTCGCGACTACGAATACCGTCAAGAGTGGTGACGAAGTCCTTCTCGACGGCGACATGAGCGATGTACGTCCTCGAGTGTTTTATTTTGATATTGGGGGTTAATACGGGAGAAGACAAACTAACGGATGGATTTCCTTGCCCGAAAAGATTTCCGAACTGATGTTTAGAAGGTTACTTGCCTGGAAGCATGTATGCGGACACCTGGAGAATTATATCATTGCCACCCACAAGGCCCAACGCACCCTGGCAAAGGAATTTGAGAAGGTCCTCAAGGTAGGCTCCTCCCTGCCATTGCTGGTTGAATAGTGACACGTGGGAAGGTCGTCGCTTGCTAACATTCTGGATACAATTTGCCTTTCATTCTTGCTAGGCTGTACCGGAACCTCTGGAGGAAGCGGCGCAGTTCAGTGAGGGCAAGGGAGGTGTCGTTGGTCTTTTCGACAACATACGCATTAACATAATTGTAAGAAAACATTTCCATTTACGGATCATCTAGGTTTTGTGTCAAGTCCGTCAGGGCTTCTAACGGCGTACCGCCACAGGCAATCGTCAACCTTCATTTGGACATAGAGAAGAAGGTGAAAACCATTGCTCTCCCAACTCTCGAGCGCCTTCATACAGAGATCAAATCCAAAACCAAAGACCTCCAGCATGGCTCCGAAAAGGGCACAAAGCAGGTTGAAAAAGCCCGCTCTGCGGCCCAAAAGCATATTGAACTGCTGGGGAAATATACGGCTGCTTTTGCCTCGGGTACCGGAGGCAAGCTAGAGCCCGCGCACGATCCTTACGTTCTGAAAAGAGGCACCGTATATCGCATGAGCAAAGTTGTGACTGAAGAAAACAATTATCGAACGGAGATGCTGCACCTTCAGGAATCCCTTGCCGCCTTCGAACCTCATATCATGCGAACGGTGAAGGATGCGCTTTTTCAGTTATCCGACTGTATGGGTGCGCAATCAGGCATTCCAGGAAAGATGTACGCAAACATCGCCCAAGTAGCTCAGCAAATCCCAGCCGATTTCGAATGGATGGACTTTACCGTGCGCAGCGAGGCCTCCCTGATCAATTCCGCTGTCCCTCCCCTTAACATTGACGATGTTGCTTTCCCGAATCAAGACCACGTCGCCACCATCGCACTAATCGAAGGCACGCTCGAGAGAAAATCCCGCGCAATGATCAAGGGATATAATGCAGGCTACTACGTCGTCTCTCCGGCTGGGTACCTCCACGGCTTCAAAGAGAACGACAACTACAGTCACGATCCAATACCCGACATCACACTCTATCTCCCCGAGTGTGCTGTCGGCAACGCTGACGGCGTCAAGTTCACCGTCAAGGGTAAAGACGTTTCGGGCGGCAAGGTCGGGCAAACCTTCGCCACAACCAGCGAACTTAGTTTTAAAGCCCCTTCCAAAGATATTGCGAGACAGTGGCTCCATGTTCTTACCGGCATGATTAACAGGTCCGCGTCCGCAGCGGCCTCGCAGACCACAAGCCCAGCTGTGAGTAGGACTGTAAGCGGCGCGCATGGGGTTCCTCCACCCGTAGCTCATCCAGCCGCAGGGTCCACCGAAGCGCCATCCCCGCCGACGTCTGGGCAAGAAGAGGGGTTCGTGGCGGTGGCAGGTGGTGAAGTAGAGGAACCAGAAACGGCGCCCCCAGATAACAAGGTAGTGACTTCAACAGCGGCGCCCTTGCAGGATACAGGTAAATCATAATCCTACATATATCTCATGCATCGACCTTAACCATTTCATAGCGAGGAGATACAATTTGTCGATTTATTTAATTTTTGTTGAGGTTATATTTTTTGCTTTTTCTTTTATCACGTTTCCCCCCCCCTCTTTTTTTTTAATTTTTCTCATTTTTTCATTTGTTCATTTTTTCATTTTCTTGGACTTTATTCCCCCTTTGGCATTTTCGGTATCATTTATATACTATTCTTGGGCAATGCGAGAAAAATGAAGCGCTGAATCTTTGAAAAGCGCGACGACATACACAAATTTACACACGCTTCATTTTCATGTGTCGTACTGTACATTTAGATTTTCTTTCTATGCTGTATACAGATATCTATATTTGATCTTTCGGTATTCTGTTCTGAGCGTGCACACTACGCTTGTCGAATACTCTCTCATTTAGCTAAATAACTAGCTAGCTACGTACCACATAGCTAGCTAGATCTTTTGCCATGCTGCAAACTGAAACATATTATATGTCGGACCCTTCTGTCACGTGGCGTATATTCCACCATAGTCGTTCTCATAGTTAGCAGCAACCTTTGGTCGATCAAGCTTGCGACTCTGTCATTGTAATGCTTTCGCATGTGGGTTGGGCCTCCAGCTGATAGGCACATGGAGCCGTTGTAGTGGATTAAATCGCTTCGACTGGGTATGACTTGGTTTTCTCAACCATGACATTGTATGCGCATTCATCGTCTGTAAAAGCTGGCAGTTTATAGCTCTTCTCTTCCAAACTCCCAGATAAATACATAGATACATGAATAAAATACACCGGGAAACAAACGCAGTCGCGGGTATGCGGAATAACACCCCTCCCCGCCTAAAGTTCCAATGCTACCAAAAGAAATTGAAGCAGAAGATAAAACTGGCTTATCAGGAACTGCTAACTGTAATATGCCAGAAAAGCGGAGGAGGTATTTTGTTTCAGACACGTAAAATATAACAGCATACAGGCAAAACAGCATGGCAGGATGCAATATCAGTGAGGACACGAGAATGAATAATCGAACGGTCGAGAACGACGAGGGAAAAAAGAGAAAAGAAAGAAAGGAGCAAACAAGAAGAAACAAGGCACTGATTAAAGCGGTTAAGGCGATTATTATCAGAAATCATCGGGATACTCAAGATCCTGAAGCTTGTTACTTAGGAACTTGCCCAGCGCTGCGGATTTGGATTCCAGGGCCAGGAGCACTGCTGGAGATGCGTCAAGATTCAGACTGGCCAGACGTTCTAGATCATTACTTCGGTCGATTTCCCACTGCAGCTGCAGAGCCGCGTCTGAACCGCTACGCGAAGGAGTTAGAGGCCTATCTGCTGCCGCTGGCGCACATGTCGGGTTGGGTGCTGATGACGCAAGGCTCATGGAATGTGGGTGGCCCATGGGGTGGCTGTCGAATGCCGTTGAGTATGATTCGACAACGGCGATGCCTTGTTCGGTATCGCTCGCTGCGGATCCAGGAGCTGCACGTTGTCGTCCATCGCTATGAGAGGATGATGGTGGATGTTGCCGATGCTGCAGTGGGCTAAGATGGTTGGGACCCATGACGGCGAGCAGGACTTTGTCCGCGATTTTAGTGACGACTGCAACTAAGTTTTCGAATTCGAAGGCTATCGACCCAACATCACCGAGTGGCACGGAAGGGGCAGTCACAAACGAGGACGGATGGCTAGCAGGGTTCACGCCGGTTAGGTTACCGGTAGGGGCGTTTACTGCATATGATAAATACGCGGCACCATAGGTCGCGCTTAGGTTTCGCAGTTTCCGTGCAGGAAGTGAGGAAGCATGAGCGAAAATTGCCCCATTTGTAGCGAATATCCTATGTAAATCTGTCATTATTGAAATACCTAGGGTTCAGTGTGGCTGCGGGTGTAAGGGAATTATTCCTCATTTTTAAATTTTTAAAATATCAAAATTATGTATACACATATTCGAAGATACTAACATAATAGAGGTAATCTCTGGAGCGCAGAGGTTATCCTCTAGTAGGCTGGTTAGAGCCTCAGGATCCAGCATTTTGATACCGGGCAACTCTGGGATCATCTCGACAGGGTTGATATCGTCCAGGTCTGGGTCTGTGACATCAGCGCTGAAGGCCGACGATGTCCTGAGCGAAGAGCAGGAGCAGTCTTCGGGAAAAAAGAAACAATTATCTATAAAGTCCACTTCCTCGTCGTCGTATTCAATGGGCTTGCTGTCGCACTCGAGGAGATTTTGTGCGTACTTCACGTGACTTCTCTCCCATACAGGGACGAAGAACGGATCTTCAAAGGAGCAGCAGAGCGAGTCGGGAGGGCTGGGGCCAGCACATGCATCTACTTCAGTTATCGCCATGTTCTCAAGAGAAATCGCAGAAGGTACGAAATCGCATCATAGGACTAGTTATCGATATGAAGTGGGAGCATGACTGTTGCAGATATATATCGCTGGGCCAGCTTGGCTAGGGTGGGTTGGGCAGCCATAATATAGTATAGATAGATCTTGATCTAAGCAGCGGACACGCAGCACTTGTTGAACGAGCATCCACGGGGCTACATGAACCAGAGCGATAAATACGAGAGGCAAAGAGGGTGGCAGAAGAAATAAAAGAAAAAGCAAAGACAGTTGGGGGTGTGGGATGGAAAAAAAGTGAACAAGTGACACCCAGGCACTCATCGCTGGAGATTTCAGCCATAAGCGCGGCATGAATAGTAAAACATACTACAGGTTAATTGTATGAAATGGAGATACGCACGCATGCGTCAGGTAGACACTGGAGAAGAAGGACAGGAAAAGAACGAACGGACATACCTGCAGAGGCTCCAATGAGCCACGATCGGTATGATTGCCTGTTGATCGTTTGTTACAGTGCTTCAGAGGCCAAAGCGAGAAGATTTGCCCACTACAAACAACCCCCAACAAACTATGAGTACGGAGTAATTACGGACCGTAGCTGGTGACTTAATAGAATAAACTAAGATTTTTTTTTTTTTTTAAAAAAAAAAAAAGAAAAGAAAAGAAAAGAAAAGAAAAGAAAGAAAAAGAAGATAACTAAGACAATTAAGGGGCGTTAGTCACCCCGAACTCATCCGCTTCTGTTGACCCCAACTAATGCTTCGTGGGGGTGGGATTTCAGCCTTGCATCTTCTCTACCCAGCTGCGCTTTCGCTTTTATCTCAGGCAGCAAAAATCGATAATACATCCGGTTTCTGCATACTAACAAACTGCTTTATGGCCATCTAGCTCACGATTGGATCCCGCACTAGGTTTTTGGCTCAAATAACACCCATTCATGGTAAATCGAGGGTTAGCGGTCTAGCCAAACTCGACTCTCGATGCGCGGGGACCGAGAGCTCATCCCATGCCATTCTACCAATGGCTTCAACTTTTCAATGTCTCGTTTTGTATGATTTCAACCCAGTATCCGTCTGGGTCAAGCACAAAGGCGACGTTTTTCATGCGTCCGTCTGTCAGACGCTTTTTCCAGGTCACTTTTTGCGCCTCCAAACGAGCACAGGCAGCATCTAGATCATCCACTGACACGCCTGCGGGGTGGGGGGTTTGGTTGTTAGTTTGTGTGTCTGGCAAAGGTGAGAGATTTTCCATTCCATTATTCTCTTTCTGCAGTTCTTCCTATTTGTTTCTGAAAAAGGAGAGAGACCAAAGGGTTTAAAAACACGTACAGATATGTCCGAAGCCCTGTGGCTCCGAGTTACCATCATGATAAACCTTCCCTTCCTGCTTCTCTGTTCCGTAATTCCAGGCCAATTTCACTACTCCCTCCCACTCCGCAATTGGATTGGCAGCCCCTTCTTTGAACGGCGGATTGGATGTGGGGTAGGCGAGAAAGAAGAATTTCTCGTCCCCACTCTCGAGCTCGACTATGCGAACAAGAGTCATTCCTAAAATTTCCTGGTAGAATTTCAAGCTTGTTTTGGAGTCCTTGACTCTAAGCATAGTACTGTTCAGGCGATAGGTCGATGGATCGGACCGTGCAACGGCTGCATCCGTTTCTTGTTTCCGGATGATAGCTACCCAGTATCCGTCTGGATCTTCCACGATGGCCTGGTTCTGTATGGATCCCTGTGTAAGATTCTGCTGGAACTCATATCCGGCATCTTCGAGACGTTTGCATGCGAGCTCGAGATTATCGACAGAGATGGTGAAATGACCAAATCCGAGGTGGGGTTCTGTGTTGCCATTGGTGACCGCATAAGACGGATCATTCTCTGTCCCGTAGTTGTGAGTAAGCTCAATGACGCCGTTCCTGTCAGACCAGTGACGAGAGCCAGAGAGTGACTGTTGGCCGTCGTATGCAAGGAAGAAGAGTGAGAATTTGCTCTCGGGAAACTCAATTTTATTGATCAGGGAGAGGCCAAGAAATTTGTAAAATTCAACTGGTTACGAATTATGTTGGATGTGTGAACTCGAATCTATCACAAGAGGACGACGTGGGTTTAATTGACTGCAGTTACCTGATTTCTTTGGGTCTTTCACCCGAATCATAGTATCTAAATGGGATAAAGGATCAGTGGCTGATGGCGAGGGAGCAGCAGCTCCAGCAGCAATACCGTGATAATGGAGGCACAGCATACGATTCAATTTGTACTTGGAGGTGTCTGAAGACATTCTCACAGCAGCAGTGCTCTGTGGACAGAAAGGTTTCCTAGTATTGCACGGGGGTGTCAGCGCCCGAAAATGACATCATGGAGGATACTACTACATCTGTAGTAATAACACCACAATAAATAACTAACTTACTACTTGTTCTAACCGAGCCGGGCTCCTTATGAAGCAGAGCAGGTAGACGAACGCGAATGCACGGTTGGCCTGTGGAAAGACTATCTTATAAGCGCAGAATTGATGATTATCACTGGACAAGGAATGGGGGAAGCAGCAGATGTTTTCCGGTGAGGGGCTTGGCCGGGAAACAAGCGGGAAGTTTAGACAAGCAGAGAAGCATAGTTTGTTAGTTACTAGTTAACTAATAGTTAGTTGCTACTAGCATCAACTAATCACCGAGTTAAATGGCTAACTAATTTGAACCCTAACTAGTTACGTGGTCACCCGCGATATTTTGTCTGTCTCTTCGGACGAAATACTCGTACCCTGTAGTTACTCCCGAAGCGGATGATTCATATTCCGAGAGATTCTGGGCAAAGAGGGTGTTGTTGTTATGCAATATGCAAGTCCAATTAATTGCCTTATCGAAATTGGGTGGTCAATCGCAAAAGAAAATATATTTAGTTCGTATGTTCATATATTTAAATGCTTCTTCCTCCGAGCCGATGGTGAGCAACTTTTCTTCTCCGTAACAGCCGCAACAACAGCAATGATAACAACAAGAACACCACAGGAACAATAACATCATGCTGTACTAGTATACACGCTCCTCCTAAGGATTAAATATAAAGAAATACCCGCCAATGGGTGCCAAAACATCTCTCCAGCTTCTGTTTACGCTTTCTCATTCCTTGGTTTCCGTTTGAGATAATTGAAGGCACATCGCCTCTCCATATTTTTTTCCAGATCACATTATATCTCCATCGCCAACCGCAACCACAACATGAGCCTTCTCTCCATAAGAATTGCTCCTTCTGCCGCTTCAAGGGCTCTCAACCTCCTCCGGGCTGTGCAATTTACACATCCTCCAGCCTGTCCCTGTCACTCCAACCCTACTCATCACCATCACAATCGCCATGGATCGCCCCTATCTAGGTATGCCCGTAATCTTGCAACCCCTATCGATCCCTCTTACCAAAAGGAATACGCCTTTGAAATGGCCGCCTCGAGCATCAGATTTGGGCCAGGCTCCACTAAGGAGGTCGGTATGGACTTCAAAAACTTGGGCGCTAAACGTGTTTGTGTGGTGACGGATTCAACTGTCGCCAAGCTTGATGCTATAAAGCATTCAATTATGGCCTTGAGGGAAGAAGATGTGGAGTTTACCATATACGATAAGGTCCGCGTTGAGCCAAAGGATTATTCGTCAGTTTCCCCTGTCCTCCCCCTCCCATTCCGTTGTCCCTTTGGCGGTAGTAGATGGTGTTGCTGATGAGTTGTCGGAAACAGAATCAAAAATGCTATCGCCTTTGCGAAGCTATACAATGCCGATGCTTTTCTTGCTGTGGGTATGTTTCAAGTGGGATAAAAAAGTCAAACAATTGTTGGTGTTTGCTAGTAACTTAACGTTTTATAGGTGGCGGGTCCGTTATCGACACCGCCAAACTCATGAATCTGTACTGCGTTTACCCGGAGGCCGATTTCCTGGACTTCGTAAATGTCCCTCTTGGAAAAGGCTTGCCAATTACCAGATCACTCAAGCCTCTAATTGCCGTACCCACCACTGCTGGTACCGGCGCTGAGACCACAGGTACCGCCATTTTCGACCTAGTTTCCAAGAAAGCAAAGACAGGCGTGGCACACAGAAACATGAAGCCCACGCTGGGCATATGCGACCCTCTCAACACACGAACCATGCCTTCGCAAGTTCATGCCTCGACCGGCCTGGACGTCCTCTGCCATTCCCTTGAATCATGGACCGCGATCCCCTACAGCGAAAGAACGCCGAGACCCACCAACCCAATTCACCGCCCCGCCTACCAAGGCGCAAACCCCATATCAGACATCTTCTCCCTGCAGGCGCTGCGCAGTACGGTCAAGTATCTCCCTCGCGCCGTTAAGGACCCAGATGACACTGAAGCCCAAAGCCAAATGCTTCTCGCTGCAACGTTGGCAGGTGTGGGATTTGGGAATGCCGGCGTCCATCTTTGTCACGGGATGAGCTACCCTATTTCCGGACAGAATCCGGGCTACAAGCATCCAGGATATGTCGTGGACCATGACATAATCCCCCATGGCGTGTCTGTCGCAGTTACCGCACCAGCTGTTTTCAAATTCACGGCAGCTAGCAATCCAGACCGCCATTTAGCTGCGGCGGAAGCGTTTGGGGTGGACATCTCAAACGTGAAAAGAGAGAGCGCAGGCGAAGTGTTGGGTGAAGCGGTCGCTGAGTTCCTCATCGGGCTGGGAGATCAACCGCGTGGCTTAAAGCAGCTTGGATTCAGTTCTAGCAGTGTGGACGGTCTGATTGAGGGTACCATTCCACAACAGCGTGTGTTGAACCTGGCCCCGAACCTGAGCAAAGAGCTGGAGACGGAGAAGGAGGAGCTGAGGAAACTTTTCGAAGAATCGATGGAGTTTTGAATAATATAATAAGTAAGCTGCTGTCTGCGTTATCTACTCTATATTATTCTCATTTTCGACCCCCGTTTTTTCCTCCCCGTTTATTTCTGGCAGACCATTGGGCTGCAAACTGCATGTATATTGCATGTATATTGTATATAGTACAACGATTGCGAGTTAGCAATAATGACGAAATTAGTTTCGGGAGTCTATCCAAATACATATTTACCAATATCCTCTGCCTGTCTATGCGCCGAGGCACCGGGACACCGGGTAACCGTCGAGGCGTCCCAAGTAATTTCAATTCACCTCCGCGTGATCGCGTGATGATATCAACGCGTCCAATAGCAGGTTCAAGTCATTCGTTGTAACTTGTGGCCTAAACCCATCCTCACTTCCTTTCGATCTTTCTGTGCCTTTGCTTTTTTTTTTTTTTTTTTTTTTTTTTTTGAAACCCCATTTCTAGATGAGCCCTTAATATTTCCCCCAGACCATTTATTTACTTAGCGCCACGACGAATAATCATCTCCTCTGTATTTCGCAATCCGTCCCAATGGCTTCAAGACCCGGTAATGTGTTCCGTGTTGGTGGTGGTCCGAAGGCACTGGGGCTCGTACGGTATGTGGTGGAAAGCCCAATATCTTTGCATTTAATTCACCAAGTCAAATGTTGAAACAACTTACATTCTTTCTATTTATTTCTGACGCAATACCAAGACATTTTCCTATCAAACTAAGACCTCCGACTTTCCAGTATGGTATTGGCTTTAGATGCACTCACTATTCCCCCAGCTGCTTTATGATGCTCTCTAACTGCTTGTGTAGGGAGGCGATCTATTTACCTAGTTGGCCCCTTGCCGTTAGGTTCCAGGTAGGATGTCATTATTTGAACTCAAATCATTGCTAATTGGGATAGCCGTTTGATTTAGTCGATGACCCATGCTGATCGTTCCTATGATCATTGATATCGCTATACTGCATTGTGAGTATGTTCCGAGGCTAGCTTTCGTAGAAATGGGGACCTAGCATCTCATCGGTAAACAAAAGGCACGCTCCGCACGTAGCCAACTAATCTACAATAATTTTGTGTCATTCTACATTGAAAGAAGATATTGACATGGTTTAGGGTCTACCTCACGTTCATCCTTTGTAAGCCGAATCGATGAACTGGATTCTATTATTCAAACTCTCACAAAACTCCTCCAGATATCCTAGGCTGCGGGATTCACCTGCTCCCAGAAAGATTTATACTACCGCCGGGCACGCCAGGGCCCGGATGGAAAGGCACATACGAAGATTATGGACACATTTGTTAGGGCATAATAATGATCATGTTCATTGTAGCTTCGCCCCTGATAGGCGATGTCGGATCATTGGTGGGAAGGAGATGGCATCTGCTATTTCTTTTTCTCTTTCTTCTTGAGCTTGCCCTCATTTTGTTTGATACCAAGTATCTCACTCAATATATCTTCCTTGAGATGGCCGTGAAGAAGGTCTATATACAGTACAACGGGCCGAGATGGCGATCACAAGGTCCGGGACACTACAGTCTCTGCTCTAACCTGAGAGGTGGCGAGTAATCAGATCATATCGACCTCCCAACTCCTCCCCGGATTTTGTTTGGATGACCCTAATTGTTGTTCTTCGATCTGTGCATTGTTTATGGAAGTCCCTTCTGGTGATCAAAACTTAGCGAGCACATTTGATTTCGAAGGGTCCGAAGATTCGACAAATAACTTTCATCCTGTTTATCAAGGGGACAAAAAAAGGCTCCGCCATGCCCAATAAGAACGCCCACTGTGCCTGGGGTTCTCTTTAGGTGATGAGGTGATTGGGTGCCTGGAGACGGAATAATGAATAATGCATACAGTGTGGCGCTGAATTGTCCCCACGTCTTTTGTCAGATTTTACGCAACAGATTTATGGAGAGGCATAGATAAGGAATGAGGTCGGGGGATGAGGGGCAGGAAAGACAGGCAGGTAAGTTTGATATGAGGACCATATCTATTTTCTTCCTCCCTTTCTTTTTCTTCACTTCTCTCATATCCTCTTGTGGTCACTACTGTTATCCTTGTCAAAAATAATTAACTAACTACGTTTTGACATTCCTGTATCGCTGTATCTTAGCATACTTCAGTATCCCCAACCATTCTACCTTCCGGTTGACGGTCATACAAGTATACAAAACGATCGTACTTTGCTCCACCATAACTTCCCAGGGTAGTTAGTCGACCCTGCTTAGTTATATCCAATTCATTCCTCTATCCGTTTTCGCTCATGCTTCAGCTCTCAGGTGATGCGGTCCGACCAAGCGTCCTGGTCCCGGAGAAGTTGTCCCCTGATGGCCTGGCACTGCTCAAATCTACCCTGGATGTGCACGAGAAGAGAAACCTTAGTCCAGACGAATTGTTGAAAATAATCCCTGATTACCAAGCGTTGCTTGTCCGTTCGGAGACGAAAGTCACTGCGGAAGTGTTGCAGGCGGGCAAGAATCTGAAGGTTGTCGGTAGAGCAGTAGTTGGGGTTGATAACGTTGGTGAGACTTCCTTTCTGCTTTTAAGCAACTATTATTTCATTTACGCCTCTAATTCAATTTCCTTGTTTGTCTCTTGTATTTTTTGCTCTTTTGAGTGCACGGACGTGATACCCGTGTTTACGGTATCTCCAATGCAAATGACCCTATATCATTGGGCTTTAAAGCATAACTCTGACAGCCCTCTTGTTTTCCGGTAGACGTCACTGCTGCAACAAAGCTTGGGATTGTGGTTATAAACTCCCCATCTGGAAATGTTGGAGCAGCTGCCGAACATACGATAGCATTGATGCTGTCGATGGCTAGAAATATACCTGATGGTTGTTCTAGCCTGAAAAACGGGAAATGGGAAAGGAGTAGATTAGTGGGTGTTGAAATCAAAGGAAAAACTCTAGGAATTATCGGCCTAGGAAAAGGTACGTGTTGCATTCTTCTAAGCTTCAATCCTGGATATGAATCTTCCTAGAGTACTTCCTCATACAGCGTTTTTGTGTAGTTGGCTTGATAGTTGCGCGACTTGCCAAAGGCCTGGGTATGAAGGTGAATGCCGTGGACCCCTATGCTTCTGCTGCAGTTGCAGAATCTGCGTCTGTGAGCCTTCTGCCATCCCTTGCAACACTGTTGCCGACAGTAGATTTCCTTACAATTCATACCCCTTTGATCGCATCGACAAAGGGCATGATATCATCTGCAGAGCTTTCGCAGATGAAGCGAGGTGCTCGTGTACTAAATGTCGCTCGTGGCGGGACATTTGACGAAGCTGCGCTTCTCGAGGCCCTAGAATCAAATCATTTGGCTGGAGCGGCAATTGACGTTTTTACATCTGAACCTCCTGCTTCTGATTCTAGCGCTTCAAGGCTCATCGCCCATCCACGGGTTGTGGCGACTCCACATCTCGGTGCCTCTACAGTTGAAGCACAGGAGAATGTTTCTATGGATGTCTGCGAACAAGTTCTCCAGATATTAAATGGCGCCCTGCCTCGAAGTGCTGTGAATGCTCCTTTGATTTTGCCTGAAGAATATAAGAAGCTCCAGCCATTCGTACATCTCGTCGAGAAAATGGGGAATTTATATACACAGCACTTCACATCGACTGCCACGCCCACCGCAAATAGCAGCACGTTTGACCTAATCTACGAAGGAGAGATTGCGATGGTCAATAATACAAAACCTCTTTTTGCCGCTTTGATTAAGGGACTCATTGCTCCGATTAGCAGCACGGCAGGAATCAACGTAAACATCGTTAACGCCGAGCTCATTGCGAGGGAACGTGGCCTTGTTGTCAACGAACGGTTTTCCCGTGATCCAACCTCGCATTCTTACTCTTCTCTCATCACACTGGTGGCTCACCCACCTTCTCGTGCTTCCTCCCGCCCTCCTCCTCGTCTCGCAAGTTCTATTCCTGAAGTACAAGCCGCCCGCGAACAACAACAAATCATATCTGGGACATGCTCACAGTCTCAGCCATTAATATCTCGTCTCGGCCGATTTGCTACATCCTTCGTTCCGGAAGGCACCCTACTTATTTGCCATAACTACGATTCTCCTGGAAAAATTGGGGTTGTCGGAAGTATCTTGGGGAGGGAAGGAGTTAATATCAACTTTATGGGAGTAGCGCCTGTCTCAAAGGGCCTTGTGGAAGGCGAGAAAGCCGTAGCTAGTAGCGAGACTAATGCACATCCTGACTCAATGGATAAGGTTGTGCCTGAGAAAGAGGCATTGATGATCCTTGGGGTTGACAGGGCCGTGGAGGATAGTGTAGCCAAGGCTCTGGTAGAAGAAGGGGGTGTATTAAGTGCTAGTGTCATTTCACTTTGAAAAGTTGTATGGGTTGCCGGTTTCCTTTTTTTGACGAATGGTTGCCTTTTTGTTATTTCATTGCAAATGATATTGTTTCTCTACATTCTTAACATCTAAATGATTTAGCAATTTCCCTGTGAAGCCACCACATTGGTTATTCAGACTTGGAATTTATGTGGTTCCATTTGTCAATGGGCTTGTTTCGTGAGATCGAGGATTCATTGTCGAGAGCTAGATGTCAAACACTCACACCAAATGTCCCGTCCCTAGCCTACTGTTTGAGCTGTATAACGGACATAAAGTAGTGGGGTAGTCTACCATATCAACGAAACCATTTAATTTCCAAAAGCTGCACTTCGATACTTTGTGCGCTGCCATCTCCAAGCTGGTGGTATCTGGTGGATTTGGGCATCTGCATGTTGTACTGTACTTTGATCTCACCCAGTCATAACTGATGCAGAAATTTTGGCTCAAAGAGCACACATTTGAGGAATGCTCCGGGGGATGGTGGTGTGGTTGCGGGACAACAAAAAGGTTAACTCACGCATGCAGAGTCAGGTAATATACCAAGATCAGGATAGCACGCGTGAAATGTGAGGGAGAAAGTGGCCTGTTCGATCTTGCGGAACATGAATAGAATGAACTTCCATCAAAGGGACCGAAAATCTGGATTTGGAATTGTATGGGTCTATAGCTGTCCGCTTTCTGTTAGAAAAAGAGCAAATGAATATTCGAATACTATACTAGATAGAGATGTCTTGTTCAGGCTCGCAAGACTTTATCTTGTGCATATCATTGCTGTGTATTCAAACTTTGGAAAGTCGGAAGGCTTCCTGAGGGATTATAAGAATATAATGTTGTAAAGTTCATTACGTAGGCTTATATATGGGGGTACATACATACATAGAGGGCAGTAAGTTGCATAAAGTCAATTAACCCAAGCAACAAATTATGGAATATCAAGAGCCTGATGGCCATATAGATCCCATCATAAGCAATTCCAACTTTGGAATTGTTTACAATTCGTTGCGAATATACATGTTGCCCTTAAGTATGGATCATTTGCTTGAGAAATATCATTATTTCCAACATCTCATCGCAAAGGGCTACCCCCAAAAATGTCGGGTCTTTTGCTGGTGCTCCCTGCAAAACTGCCATTGCTAGGAGTAAGGGCGGTTGATCTCCTGAAAGATTGCCGTGGTGTAGACGGTGTACTACCACTCACGCTTCCCCCCGAGCTAACCGTTCCAGATCCGACCATTGATCTATCAGGCGTGTTGCGACCACTGGCAGGAAGTCGGGTTATAGCAGCGCCCACAGCGGTTGTAAGGGGGATAGAATTAGAAGAATTCCGGGAAGGTGGTTTAAACCCTAGTTTAAACCCTTCACGAAATATCTCTTCGAGGATTTGCGATACGATGCCCGCCTCTTCATATTCTTGGAATTTTTTCCAGAGCCGGAGAGCCATGAGAGCATCTTCAATGGAGTCATGCCCTTCAGAACTAGTTGTATTCACCACTGTGCTGGCAGTGGCAGCTTGACCAGATTCCGAGGGCGTAGCGGAAGTGGTTAAGATGGTGGTCTCCTGGATGTACTCCTTGAAAACAGCCCATGCAAGGTACCGTAAACTAAGACGGCGGTTTTTTGAAGGGTGGAAAAAGAGGTACTGTGTATCTACAGTCTGCTCTTTGGGAACTTGGATATTGATTTTACGGAAATCGGAAGCCAGACCATGTCCAACGAAAATGCAGCCCAGATTAAGCAGAAGCCATAACTTCTTGTACGCAACCTTCAAAGGCACAAGGTTATGAGAGCTTGTCCGTGGGTCTAAATCACCAGGCTTGATACCCGAATACTGTGTGACATAATCGACAATCGGGTCTTTTATGGTAATGTAATCATCGATAAAGGGGACACCTTCAGCAGTGCCAGAGCCGCGGATGACAGAAACACGTGCAAGTCCGCTTTTACTTGGACGAACAATTTCTTGGGTTCCATCTGCTTTGACTTCAATTTCGGCTTTCTCTAAATCCACAAATTCGGTATCCAAGGCAACTGGCGTTCGCGCCGAAGGTTTCTCATCTGATTGTAGCACTTTGCAGGATTCAATCGGACGATGATTGCTGTCGACAAGTTAGAGAGCAGTAATAGGAAAAGCGACAAAGAATATACATGGGAGAGAAATGCGCAAGGAGAGAACACAAAATTAATCAAGGTAACGCACTTCATAGACCACTCATAGAACAGAAGAGTAGTATCAAGTTCGCTTTTCCAAGAATCATCCACACCATGCCGGGAACTCTGCACTTGGTACGCTAAAGTACAAGGCGACTTCCAAGATTGATTGAATGAAAACACCTCATCTCGATTTAATTCTGTCACCAGAAAATCGTTAAAAAGATGCCATCCGTCCTTTTCATTTGGATTACGCGAGGATATTGCGACGTTTATGAAAGAAACCAAGTGTGGCTTGTGATGTTCTGGCATATCAATCTCCACCACGAGTCCTACCAGTTCGTATACTATAAGGCCTGGAATTCCATTCCGTTTAAATGCTCCAAGCTCCTCGCCTTCGAAGCACTGGATGCGGCCATTTTCAAGGAAGAACCCCACCTCCTCGGGGAGCCACCCAAGTGTGCTCCACAATTGTCGCGTGCTCGGATTGTTTATGGCTGCATTGATCATCAACACCAGGGGCATCCTATGAACTGTCTTTCGGATCGAAACCTGTTGATAACGGCGACAATGGCTGCACCAACCTCGGTTTTGTGTTTCACGTTCAATGCTGGACTTGAGGATATCTGAAAATCGATAGGAATTATTGTGTCGTGTTTGTTTGGGATCGATCACCGGGTAGTGTAGCTCATTGACGAATGAATTTCCGGCGCGTACGGTCTCGTTGTGGCAAAGCATGCAACGGATTGATTCAACCGCATCAGTTGAAAGGGTACGGTCTAATTGGTCAGAATGAGGCGACATCAATCGAAAATCGTGGGATATTTGATGCAGGAAAAAGCGATTGACCGACTGAATGGTCGACGAAAGAGACTTTGTAGTCAAGTTCTCTTCGAGGAGACCAAGATTGGTAGCTTCCCGGAAACCGCTAAAAGTCCTTAATAGATTTGTTGCCTGGCAGTTTTGTCCGTTTGCTTTGTCAAGCATGTCAAAGAGAAATCCCATTTCACACAGGAGACAGTTGTCGTATATACAGCTCGTTGCCACGTGGTGCAGGGCTAGATTCTTAATCAACGGAATAAATTTAAACAGTTGAAGAAGAGAGTTTGCGAAGCAGTTGGCAATGTGCGTCTCCAATCCTGAGAATACAGTTTTATTGTAATACCTAGATAGGAACTTAGCATCGATTCAAAACCGAGTTTTTAAAAATATAACCGACCTAAAATCAAAGTCATCCACTCCGAATTTGCTATACTTGATTTCGACATTACCATATTTTAAAAGTGGATCTTCACCTGCCTCTTTATTAATAGTTGTATTCGCTAAAGTTTCGGCCGCATCACTTATGGTGCTGTCAAATTTGGCCTTTGCTTGAGCCCTTGCTCGCTCGCTTAAAAATTTAGGAGCAGCTAAAGTTGGCTCTGCTGTTGGCTGCGCGCGTGTGTTTTCAACTTGATATCTCCGAGTCTTTCGTGGGTTGGGGCCATAGTGTCCTATTTCCCCAGCATGAAGGTATGGAATGATGGCCTGATCGACTTGTGGAGGAATGCTTCCGATTTCGAAAATCAAGTGACTTGGCCAGGCAGAGAGCAGCCGTTCATGGTAGTATGGAATTCCAATCACGTTCAATGGGGTATCATTCGACCAATCCACTAAAGGGGGGCGTGAAGGAACATCTGCAAATTCAGTTTCCTTGCTCATTTCATTGAAATGGATCTTGGACGGGGAACCCCAGAGATGGATGAGGCACTCAGCATCATTGACAGCGAGAGCCTCACCTGATGGTGATATCTCAAGGCCGAGCATAAACGTGACATTTGCTTGTCGCAGGTTAATAGCATTGGGATTCATTAGATCAACTACTTGGAGCTGCCCTGTTTGAGAAGCTACGAAGCTAGTGGTTTGTAGCTTTGGATGCATTCGGACATAGGCAGCACCAGCGTGAAAGGGGATAGGGGGCAAAGGAGTCAAAGTTTTCAAATCATAAACGTTCGCCAAAGGGTCGACAATCGGCGAGCCTAGATGCCGCACCGAAAAGCCGCAGGTAACGAGGTAGTCGTTCTGCGCATCCATATCACTAACAACCGTACCATGTGCCTTCCAACTCTTCACAACACTAAAATCGGATAGGCTCAGGGCATTGACAGAGCCAGTATCAGTCGCAGCACACAAGTAGTGGCTCTTTTTCATAATCGTGTAATTGTATTCCGTGATTAATTTCTCGACAATGGTTCCTTTGTCAATGTCAATGTGAAACATTGCAGGCTGGCAACCAGCAACAAGAATCTTCGAAGCCTGCTGAGTGAAGCTCATGCAGCGGAGATCTTCCATCTCTTCATGGGAAAGATGCCATAGCGTCAGGCCACGCCGGGATATAAGATGAACGCTTTTAGAGGTCACTGATAATACCCCTTTCTCATGGAATAGAAGCTGGCGCACCGGTCCCTCAGAAGCGGGGTGTGCTTTCACAGACGTGTACCTTTGCAGCTCTGGTCCGTAGAAGGAGGTAACTCGCCCCTAAGACAGCCAGGATCGAAGAAGAATTAGTAAATTATTCATCTAACTGACGCGCTTCTGCGAAGCCTGATGTCCAAGATAGAGGCTCAAGATCGTAGTCTCACAAATTCATTGCCTGTCCACAGAAGCTCTTGGGTGTCATCAAACGCCATCGTCGACGCGACAGTTGGTAAGACGTGGGGTCCTGAAGGAGGAACAGCTACCCGGGATATCTCATCCCAATCTGGATCCATTGTGATACAACAGTCGCCTGGACTGTAGATGAAGCTGATATGCTCTCCAGCCAAGCACAGGATATGTCTCGCAGTCGGGAGGAATTGGCGACGTTGTTCCGATTATGCTACCGGTACGGAAAGGGCCACGGCGGGAGAATCATCTTGGAGCATAATTCCGGCAGTATATAGGGGAGGTCGAAGTGGTCGTCACTCAGGGAGGTGAGTATGTGGGTGTGCAGGGCAAGGGGCGAATGGCGCAGAAAATGAGTATTGTGGCGGACGTAAAGCTTGCGAAAACAGAATTTTCTGCCACCCCCTGAAAAATATTAGCAAAACAGCGCAAAAATAACCAAAATATCCACGTATCTCTAGAATCATTCAAATATCATCCAATCCATTCAAATACGCACCTTTATCATCAAATACGCACCTTTATCATCAAATCTGTCAATATGCCCTGCAACACCCACCGTGCCCTGCAACACCCACCGTTCTACTGCCTCGCAAGCTCGTAAAAGGACTCCAACTACCCTGCGCCTTCGTCTGTCCAAACCGCCTGTTCCGGATGTTCCGGATAATGACGAGAATCCAACTGATGATGAGAAGGAGGATAAGGAGGAGGAGGAGGAGGAGGAGACACAGTCAGAAGATCCTCGATTTCTGCGAACACCTACCCCTGAGCCTGAGATCTCATTCAGGCTGTATGAACGGGTGATTATCAATGGGATAAAGGAGCCTATAAAGATCAAGTTACGGAATGTCACAACAAATGATATGATTGTCAGCTTCTATCGTATCCAATATACTGCAAAAAGAATAGCTGAAGAGTATGTTATGAAGCAGAACTGCAAGGAGATAGAAGTTGCAAATTGTATAGCAGTCATCTCATCAAACAAATGTGGATCTTCAATCAAAATCACCCTCGAGAGGGAGACAGATTGGAGAGAGATTATCACTCTTTTGAAGGAGTTATATAAGGAGAAGATGAGCGGATTTAGCATTGAGATTACCACCTCTTTTAATCTTCTTGATATCTCAACTTTATCCTCAAACACCTCTGTAATACGCGGTCCTGCAGCTTTCATTGGAGTGTCGGATTCCCAATTAACAACCCAGGCATTGGCATCAAAAAGAGCATTAGATGTCAAAGAAGAAGTAATCTCCCCATCTGTCAAATCCCCTCTCTATCATCCTGCCAAATCCCCTCTCTATCGTCCTGCCAAATCCCCTCGAATTCATGAAATATCCGATGACGAAAAGCTGCCGCCTACGCGTACAAGATCCACGGCCACTAGCCAGCAGCTGAAGAAGGCTTGAAATCAACAGCCAAATGAGCATGATTCTTTGCAGATTGGGCGTGAGATAACTGCTCACTGATGTTGTCAAAAGATGAATTGTCATAACTTTGAGCAGGGCACTTGTTGGATAGCTTTTGATGATACTCATATTCAACTCCTGAGTAGTGAGATTGCCAGTTGGATAGATGATGTTGAATATGGACATGCAACAGTTAAAAATCACTCAAGAAAGATGATAAAAAAATTAATGAATAGAAAAAAGAAGAAGGAATAAAAAAGTGAATTTATCTTTGCTTTTAACTTTTCTATACAAACATTTCAAATGTCCGCAGTTATATTTCCTCTTTCAGCTTCTTCTTTATCTAATATTGTGTCTCCAAGTGAGATAATGAATGTGATGGTGATGAAATATATGATGGAAGAAATGGAGGCATGAAAGAACTGAATTCAAACTTATCATTGAATTTAAACTTGTCATCAAATTCAAACTTGCTATTGAATTTGAATCTGTCATTAAATTCAACTCTGTTATTGAATCTGAATTTGTTATTGAATTCAAATCTGTCATTGGATCTGAATCTGTTATCAAATTCAAATTTATTATTGAATTCAAACCTGTCATCAAATCTGAATCTGCTTTTTATTTAAAGTAGTTCAATCTCTCAATTTGATGAACATGCAGATCTGTTTATTGATAAATTTTTTAATTAATTGATGACAGAGAAATTTCAAAGAACAAAAGCTTTTTTAACTGCAAAGAGTATTATTCAAAATGAAGAATTTAAATTGAATTATATACAGACAATGATAAATGAGTAGATAATTCAGTTGAATATTGAAATGAGTATATTCTTGATAATAAGAAATGAGTTAAAGAGTTCTATCTGACAATCACAATTGAAGAAGATTAAATTGTTTTTATTTATTGTTTGTAATGATTACAGCAGATTTCATACTGCTTCTGCTTCTGAATTTGAAATTTAAATATTATACATCATCATAATTGAATTGCAATCTGAATTTTTTTAAATTTCATAATACTATTTTATATGAGTAGATTTGAAATATTCTTTTACATCTTCTTCTTCTATGAAATTCTCAACTGTATGATGTAAAAAAGTTTTAAAATCTTTATCAAATTAATTTTTTAACTGACATCTGTATCTTCTAATCCATTCTTTCAATGCGTGAAATGACTTCTCTATAAAATTATAATCAGAAAAATATGAAGGTGAGAATAAAAATTGAATGAAAATTCAATATCAGCTTTTCTACAGAGATTTCACAATGCTTGTGAATGATGAGAAAAGCAATTATTCATCATTAAATAGTGATAATCTCATTAACATTTGAGCAGTATCTGAATATATACAAACTCATTGAACCTCTCTGTATTATAGAACCTCTAATATATATCATAATTAAAATATTCATTAATATTTATTGCAGATAAAATTGATCATTTGTGAAATTGTTTATAAAGTCTTCTAATGCAACAAGAGAATTCTCTGCTTGATCATTCATATTATTGATCTGCAGTACATTCATTCATAGCACTCTCATCTAAAAAGATAAATTGATCAGATTGATACTGAGTAATTGAAATATATCATTTAACTTAAAATTTTTCATTGTGTTGACTGATCACAAATTCAATCTATATCAAATAAAACTGATTGATTAGCTGATTTTATAAATGATAATTGCAATAATTAATCATTTTCTTCTATGTTAAATTTAATTTCTTCAACAATTTAGATGTTGATTGAGGGTGGATATCAACATCAAATTCATCCTTCACAAAGCAGACAGTTTAATCATGATATGCAGTTGAATATATCTCAAAAAAGTTCTTCAAATCTGATAAAATATTCAGTGTGATCTGTAACTTTACACTTCATGTTGAATGAGGACTTCTAGCAGTTCCAAAGCAGTGAATATTTTGTTGGATTTGATATACAGTGGTCAAATGGCACTCAATGGTCCGCGCAATCTGAGCAGGTATATTGTAATGTGACGGCGCCGAGGCGGTTGCTACTCGGCAGCGGCACAGAGGAGGATGGTATATAATGGGAAGCCTTATGGGTGGGCTTGATTATCTCGCTTGAACCGCGAACTCGTAGAATACTATACAAATACTGAACTACCAGAGGTACTCGGCACACTATGAATATTGTATGAGGACAGTGGTAACTCTGGTATCTTATTGTCAAAAGATAAAAGACGAATCGCTGGCTCCTGGAATAGAGAGCCAGCATCTAGCTATTCTATATAGACAACGGGCAGCCATCCTCCCCTCACTCTATAAGCGAGGGTAGCCGAAGCAACTCCGCAGTGGCGCTGCATTGATCTGCCAGAAGGAATCCACTGACCCCGTATAGAAACAGGATTCTCATATCTCATCAATCGGATCCTCTTCTATTGCATCCGAATGATGTCATAGGGTGGTTGGAAACCGGTTCGGACACCTGCGTGATGTCATGGGATAGATGGGATTATCCGAGGGAAACGATGGGCCGTGTGGAGCCGTCACGGGGCCTTGGCACAACCAAGGGTGTGACACTCAGAAACATTTTTTCATCATTCATAAATACAACTTTATACAAAAACCTTACCTTTGATTCATCATATTTGATATCCACCACATCAATGAAGTAAAATAATAGAGGTTTCATCAGATCATATAATGAATTTCAAATTTTTAAGAATTCAATTGCCTCAATGGCTGAATGAATAATGCGGCCATCAGATAGCGCCTTGATGTGGGAACTCAAGATGCATGAGTTTGAAACTCATAAAAGGACAACATTACATTCAGAGCCAACTTCTTAGCTTTTAAAATAAAAAAATGTGAACTTTTCAAGTAAGTATTTTCAGATGAATCTATTATCTGATTTAGCTTATTGTTTCTTAGCTGAAAATCTGTATCATGAGTATCAAATTCTGTCTTTCATTAATTTTTCTATGTTTTTGTTATATTTTTAATATCATTCAACACTAAGCATTTTTTCTGTATAACTAACTCTTGCCTGTATTTAACATTACACAACGACTCGTTATAAGCACTGCTTGCATACGAGTATAACGGAAGAATAATAATAATAAATTAAGAATTCAATTCTTATAAAGTAACCAGAATTAAAATCATTTCTCTTTCATTTTTTTAATTAAATCAGATTTTCATATTAATTTTATCTTTTAAAATCCAGCTGCTCTCAGAATTCTCAGAATTGTTTTAATTGAAATATTAAATTTTTTTTTAACTGAGTTCATTTGCAATATCAGCACAGATCTTCTCACAGCTGTAGTGATTGATTTATACTTTAAAAATAATTTATTATTGAACTTCAAATGTCTGTTTGAAAGATCTGCTGAAGTGAGAAGCATCTTGAAAATAGATATTTTTAATGATAATGAATTAAATATTTGAATCAAATCTACATTCAATTGCATGAGTATATATATGACTTATTGTATGAACAGAGATGTCAGTAATACCAGATATTTTAAGAGAGATCTTTTGAACAATAGATTTAAGAATAATCACTAAAGAATGTGTTGCAATATCAGTATTAAAAGCCATCTTGATAAACAATTTAATAAGAAAAGGAAAAAATATCATCTGTGGATTTGAACATATTTATGATGAAACAGATTGTGGGAAATTCAAATTGGTAGTGTTATATAGTGCCTTGGCAGACAAGCACTTCTGACATGAACCTCCGTAAATGAAGCGGATTCCAAGCGTTCAAACTTGTATGTTAGATATTCATTAGGCGTCTTGCGAAGATATCAGTTTGCGATCGGATAACCTTGCACAAGTACTTACAATAGTATAGAGTATAGCTGATAATCTATTAGGTATTTAAATATATATATATATATATATATATATATATAACATTTTAAATGAAGCAAAAGACCAATTGGAAATCAATAAAAATTGAAAATTTTATTGTCACTGTTATTTTTGTTACCACCATCTACAACACTACCTCGTAGTAAGCATACACCGCATGGCGAGCGTCGGCTTCCTATTGCGGACTAGTGGGTCACATAACACATTCCTCTACAAAAGCATCAACTACAACACAACGATCAAAATAAAAATATTTTACTAAATTGTAAAAAGAAATTAAATTTAATGTATATTGAAAATATGAGTTAAAAGGTTTTTGACACCCGCTCTATTGTTTTCTGGTATATAAACCTATATACATATTAGTATTCAAAACATGTCAGCCAATGATCAACAGGAGGTTTCATCGTATCTCCCTCCATTGGTTAGTACCGCCTTCAAGATCATGTCCTTAGCTACATTCAAACTAGTCCGTGGGCCCTTGATCTGAATAGCCTCGCCTCGAGCCTGGTTCTTTGGTACATTGATCCTACAGTTCGTTTGTTTGCGAATCTCGTTGATTGTGCTGCCACCTGGTCCTATAACGAATTGATAATTTTTCGGGTCTGGGAGAATTAGATATCCGGTGGCAAAATTCTGCGAGGCCGTCTGGAGAGACATTTCAACAATTGATTTCGCCTTGGCGACATTCTCTGGTGTGCCCGAGAAAACCCAAGGAATTCCCTTTGCCGAAGGTAAATCAGCTGATTCGGTCGGGTTCAGATCCACCATCTTCCAGGAATGCGTGGTAGGGTTGGTGGAAGCGCCATCAGTTATCAGGGGAAGAGGAGAATCCTGGCCGTTGATTTCATTGCGGATGTCTGATGGGTCAGGACGGGGTGGGATGTGGTGTCCAGCATGATCAACGCTGACTTGATATCCCTTTCGAAGTCGGCGGAACAAGGCACCGTTCTCAGCAATGATATGATGCAAACTTCCTGGAACCAAAATGCTATCAGCATGCTGCTCTTCGACGAGAGATTGAATGTAGGCTTTTGCCTCCTGGACTGCACCGCTTGAGCCTCTAATGTTAATGTCGGTGCGCCCAGACTCATGTTTTGGAATATCAAGAACTATCTTGAACTGGCTCTCTATATTCCGTCGAGCCTCTCCGCCCCGGCCAATTAAAAATCGATGTTGCGCCTGGGGTATGTCAATAGATGCTATTATCTGGTCATCCTTCTCTCGGACAAAGTCTTCGATTGCCGCAATGATTCTTTGTACAACCGCAGAATTTCCTTCTAGGCGAATAATAGAATCAGGGCTCGTTGGGGAGGGAAATTTCACCATTCTGGCTGCACTCCCATCGCTCGGCCCACCAGCATCGCTTATAATCTTGCGAATAGTGGCTCCTACTATAAGTTAACTAACCAACATCAGTAAGGGTGATATATAGTTGGGCACTAACCACCACCACCGATCAGCGCCTTGTGGTGCTTCTTATCCACATCGATGGTTTTGACAACGGTTGAATCGAAATCCTGGACTCTCTGGAGCAATAATTTCTTGGCGTCCGCAACTTGTTTTGTTGTCCCTTTCAGTTTAATAGTCACCCTTCCAACGGCATCAGGAGCGTCATTCGCGCTAGGCACATCAATCTGAGCACCGGTATCTGCTCGAAGTCTATCCATTTCGCGACCTTTTTGGCCGATTAACATAGGAATTTGGTTCTGTGCGACAGACACAAAATCCGAATGTGAGTGGTCCATGACCCACTGGTAGAGGCTAAGAATTTCTCCTCGAGCTTCATCCGCACCTTTACGAGGACCTCGAATGACAACTTCGTCATGGGCCTGTGCAGGACGAATGCTTCGGTTGTGCCCATTTTGACTTGCAGTTTCGACTAGGGATTGGCCGTCGGCGGAAAGAAGGCGAGTGACTCGAGGAAACTGAATTCGAACATTATACCGCTCCTCCAGACGGTTGACTTGGCTGCCCTTTTGTCCAATCAAATCGCGATGATACTGTTGGGGGATTTTCAACACATATGTAGTCTCATCATCTAACTTTTTGCCCAGGGCAGTAATCCGGGCTCGGCAATTATTTGCTTTGACTTTCGGACCCCTGATCTCCACTATACCGTTTTCCACCTTGATGTCAACGTCAAATTCCTCTCGGAGGTTGTTGATATTTTCGCCTCTTTTACCGATCAAGATATTCGCATACTTTTGTGGGAACTCAAAAGAGAGTGTGTAACCCCTCTCCAAATCGTCCTTTTGTTGTTCCAGAACGAAGATCTCAATTTCAGATGAGAGTTCTTCGACCTCGCAAGCACGGCCACGGAGCTGTATCTGCTCTCTAGTTACACTTACGGCGATAGGGATATGTTCCTCTCCCTTCGCTTGTTGTCGCTTGTCGATGAATTTTCGGAGTTTATCGTGATACCTAATTGAGATATGTACTAAGCTTATTTGTCGAATAGGGGATTGAGCTAGGGTAATGGGGGAGAAATGTGCGAGTAACATGCAAGGGAAAAATACCTTAACGGAACTGCAACTAATTTGTTGCAAATGTTGTGATGATTACCCAAAGACGCAAAAAGATATTTTTTTGCCTCAGTCAATGCATTTTCAAACACGGAAAGCTCACTTGTCGGCGGGCGAATTCTTGGTAGTTCGTTTTCCCCCGCGACCCACACGTGTCCCTCATATACGAGTACAACGGTTGAGCTATCCGGGTCTTCTGGCAGAACTAAATGCACACCAAACCTGTCCTTCAGTTGGGGACCAACACGAGAGCGAAGATGGGAATGAAAATATGGATCAATGAGCAATGGTGCAATTTTAGAGGGCGGATGAGCCTGTATTAGGTTTATAATATCGGATCGTGCGCGGATGGTGTTCTTTCCATCTCTTGAGTACACTTCCCAAGTAACAGGGCCATCTGACGCGGGGGGCAAAACAATATGTGCATCATATTGCCTCTCGAGCTTATTAATAGCTTGTCGTTGCATTAGGTAGGAAGTAAGAGCTCGGGCGTGTACATGCGGACCAGAAGGCGCTGCAGGGTGCTGCCTGGATATATCAATACTGGCCATTTGCATGCTGGTGGCCAGGTCCATGACACGATTAATTCCGAATTCGATTTGCACGGGAGGCCCTATGATAGTCAAAAATTCTGTATCATCGTTTGCGGGTGGCAGCACGATCGAGCAGCCAGTCTGAGCTAAGAAATCATGCAATGAACGATTCATATTTCCCAAAACAAACTGATGCTGTCCTCGATTGATGGCCAGCTGTCGAACTGTGATTTGTCGATGTAATTCCTCAGCAATCCTCTCAATCTCGGCGCGGGCGTCTTGTGCAGCACTTCGTTCACCAGAAATTTGAATGTGTTTGTCAGGATCAGGGGAAAATTTGACTTGGCCAGCAGCGGCCTCAGATGGAGGAGGTCGCGACCACGTATCATAGTGCGGGATTTTGATCCGTGCTTTCGTGCGCTCTTCAAGCTGGTTCAAATGTACGTTGTGGGCACCAGCAATGAAAGGGAAAAGTTCAGGAGAAATATTTCTAAGCCGTAAGGTGATATTCAACGACCTTTCCTTTAAAATTGACTCTATCTCTCTTCTCGCCATCTCTGCAGCCACCGCATCACCCTCAATGCGAACATCTATAGTAACACTGTCGTCGTCATCCTCTGCGAGAGATGGCTCTCCTGGCCTAGCAACATTGATTCGAGCACCAGTTCGGTCATGGATGCCCTGCACAACTGCGCCTTGCCGACCAATGATATGAGGCCTTGCGGACGCTGGAATTGGAACACACACAGATTGCTTTTTAGATAGAATTTTTGTTTAGGTTTTTTGTGGTCAGCTTGGACCCATAGAACATCGGATATTTCAGAAATGCATACTTTGGAACCCACTTGTTGGGCAACTTCCTTGAGTGCCTGGCGTACAGCGTCCACGGATCCCTTGCCTTCGAAAATTATCGATTCCTCAGGGCCGTTATACATATCCACAACTGCCTTGAATCTTCTACTGGTATCCCGAAGGATATCCCTAATAGGTTTTTTCAACTGGCTCCGTGGGAGCATCTGCGAAGGAGCGAAACGAATCCGCTCGACATGTTTGCCTGGCATGCTCATGATCTTAGGAGCCCCTGACGCAGGATTCAAGGAACTGGATGTAGCTAAACCGGGAATTGGTGTCAGCATTCGTGAAGAAGAAGCACTTGACAAATGTGATGACAATTGTGCCCCGTTGGATGAGCTGTTAGCCATAGCTAAATTCCGGCCAGGCAATTTACCCGCACCCCAAGCCGTTGGAACGATTGGAGGCGGGCGCAAGTTCGATGCTCCACCCAATGCAGGGAACAGCTCTTCGGATTGCACATCAAAAATTGGGCTCTCCTGAGAAGCGGTTTTGATGGGAGCCGAAAAGGGTACCGTGTCTGGAGACGGTTTCTCGGAATGGGCAACAGTGTTATGGGCACTAACGCTGCATATTGGTGACGCCGCAGGGGCTGGCGCGGCAGAAGCAGACGGCAATGGATGCTGGATGTCATACTCATCGGGGACGTCTTCGACGGTGACCTTGTGAGAGTCTTCACGGGTATGTTGCTCTCTAAGGAAGGTTGCGGGCGACATGGTGCTCGTCATGGATGTTCCATTGGCAGGGGGCTCAAGGATCTGACCGCCCATACTGACTGACAGGGAAAGATAGGACGGGAGAAAGTTAGGAAATCAACTGAGGGACTTGATTCAGCGGTTCGGAAACTGTTTCTTGGCATTAACGGATGCGATGACTGTCCACTTAGCTCGAGTAAAACACATACGACACAGTAAATAGAAGCAGTTCAATATGTAGGGCCAAGCGAGATACTCTCTAAGATTTCTGAAGGGAAAAATGGACGTGAGGTCAGCCCACCCGGAAAGGGTCAGAACAGAAGGAGCACAAGAGATGCGGAAGGGGACGGAAAAAAATGATCACTCCATAACAGAAGTCGGAGCAGATCCAAATTGGCAGTAAAAATGAGGGACAGGTAGAGAGCTGCTGTCGTTGGGATATACTCAATGTGGGATATGAAGTTGTGAAGATACGTTGCAGTTGGTGCGGGCTAGCTGTATCGGGAGGTGACTAAATTTATCAAGCTAACTAACTATTTTACCTAGCTACTAGTCATTGTAAGGAATGGAAACTTTGTGCTGTTAATTAGGAGATGGAACAGGAATACCTAAAGGTAATAAATAGTACTTGATGCCAGCATAAGTTCTTTCAGTTTAAATTCTTAGTGTGAGTCAAAAACTTTTTACAGGAGCTTCCAGAGATATGTAGTATATTGTTTCTTGGGATGTCGGGGACTGTCGGTATAATCAGGAAGAAAGAATAATTATTTTTGAACATCAATATTCTCAATAAGTGTGATATGATATTTTCGGTATTCAATCTGCCGTATACATCTACTATAATATATAAAGTTTCTTTTATGACTACAAGTTTATTGATGTAATCATCACTTTTCTGGTCAACTAATAAAATCATCTTGCCAATTACTTTTTTTATTATAGAGAAGGCTAATTTACTACCGTAACTGATATAAAAATCAAGTAATTATATTCTGTTAGGCCACTGGGGCAAACGAGCTCGATCACCAAGTAGCGGGGACGAAACCACGAAACCGTGCTCGGAATTGTTGTTTTTATACTACATAAGAATCTATATGAAAAGTATCTATATTCAATAATATTTTACAATATAAAGTGACGAATGAAAGATGGTGTAAACTGAAGAAGCGCGAGATCAGTAATCAGAGAAGATAGATTTAAAACTTCTAAGAATCAATCACCATCCCACACTCGAACGTGGGGCCAAAAAAAAGTTGAATGCGGTTTCAAATCTCGGCTGGAGAATGGTTAAACATGTATGTGCAGTGCGCTAGCTAGACCGTAATGAGGTAGCCTAGGCCCAACAAAACATTTCATAACAAGGCATTATTAACTAATGCATCTTTTAACTAACTAAACTCTCTGTCTCCAAGCAATGATCTTAAAAATGACATTTCTTGGACTCTCACCCCAGTACTAAGAATCCGGTTGGTGAGCAGGCAATTATCAATGCGATTGAGGTTGATGTGACGATAAGGTGGTAGGCGTACAGAATAGTGTGCGGCCTAGTTGTAGGTGGTGTATTTGAAGTCGGGCGTTGACACCAGCGTTGACACCAGCGTTGACACCCACATTCCACCCAAAATGTATTAGTCATACTTTTTCGGCTGGGATTTAAAACCACGGTTCAACCTTTTTTCAACCCACATTCAACTGAGCACTGAAGAATTTGGAAGCGGTGGAATAATTACTACACATCGAGTTACTAGTAAATAGTAGTATGCGGTTTTCAAGATCGTCTCACATGCGGCCTCAATAGTCAGTTCACGACGTGGTGTGAACTGGCATTCCTTCTCCCGCTCCTTTGTCCAACCGGCAAAATACAGTCCTTACATCCACAGCCCTTACGTTATCGTCACGCGTACGGCATCCCTGTCGTTCCGTGCTATCTCCTCCGAGTAGTTGATAATAACCATACAAGGGCTGGGCCCGTTGTCTTCTCAGCCAACTTCATCCCTCACCAAGGTCACCCATCACCGAACCCCCCGACCTTCTTCCCTGTCGCACGCCGCAGCGCCGCAGCACGCAGCACGCAGCACAAACCACACCCCTTTCTTGGGTTGCCCATTTCCCAGTTCTGCTGCGTACCGTTTTCATTCCTATCTCGCGCGCCAATCCGTGCCCTGCCTTCGCCAGTGTAGTTATTTGATACCTAGCTAAGCATTGATTCCGTCTGGGCGCGCGGACTGGCTGCCTCGAAACCGACGGCGAGGTTAGTTCCTCCCACCCAGCGTGGCTTCGTGCCCAAAAGCCCATCATCTCACTCGGGCCACACATTTCACTCGCCCTTTAATCGCTTGTGGTTGCCGGCTTTCCCCATCGTCTCTTTGAAACATCTCGTTGTTCCATTCCCTGCCAACCGCTGGACGTTGTAATTTCAGCTCTGTCACTCAACCCCATCCGCACACTCTCCCTGTCTTCTTTGCCGGGTATTCTCTCACGGCCGTTTCCGTCGTGATCTTCTCCTGTTGGCTGTGTTCGTGGTTGTTGTCGACCGATCCTTGATTCCAGGGATATGGATCAAGCAAACCCCCCGCCCAAACAACAACGACGTCCTTCCACCAAACTTCACAAACATCCTCATCAACTCTCTTCAAGCTCCTGGTCGCTCAGAAAACAGCCAAGTGTTACTTCTCTTCGAAGACACCCTTCCGCCCCCGTGTATCCCCGCTCCCACGCTGGTTCTAGCTCTGAACACCTTCGAACCAGATCCAACGTCTTTGGTTCCTCCTCATCCTCTCTCGATCGGAACAGCGCCCGCCATTCGCCAGCCCTCAACACAGCTATTACGAGCGATATTGGCGCCTCCGCGTCCAACATTTCTGTTCAATCCCGCCTTCAATATAGCCATCGGCATTCTTTTACTGATCGAAGTTCCGATGATTTAATCGGGAGTCCTTTCGACGCGCGGACTATGCTCAACGCCCTCGATTCATCCAAGCCAGGCGACCAGCCTCAGTCTGCAAGCCGTCCCCCTCTCCTACACTCTTACCACACTAGTCCCGACCCTGGTTCTTTAAATCCCTCGCTGGGGCAGTCCACGAGCTTCACACCACTCCCGCAATCTATGGACCCCTCCTCTACCTCTCCTACTGAGGATGGCGGAACCATTTCATCCTCAAATCGATATTCTGATGAGAGCGGAGGTGGAAATGGTGGCGTCGGTAGAATCGGTTTGAGTAGGCGGAAGACAGGGTTTTCCAATTTTATGAATAGCATGCTGGGCTCTCCTCGAAACATCAAAATCTCGGCCCCGGAGAACCCCGTTCACGTCACACATGTCGGGTATGATAATGAGACCGGTCAATTTACGGTATGTTCTTTATATATTCCTTTTTTAACTTCAATTTAGGGAGGTAAAGGCTTCATGGGGCCAACAATTCTGTTTCCTCCTTGGGTGGGGGATTATAGTTTTTGCCCCGCTATCAAATAACAACAACAACTAACACCGTCTTTTATTTCCTTTTAGGGCTTGCCGAAGGACTGGCAGCGTATGCTCCAAGAAAGCGGCATTTCAAGGAAGGAGCAAGAGCAACATCCACAAACCATGGTGGATATCATGAAGTTTTACGAGAAAAACGCTGGTGGTCGGGATGAAGATGACGTTTGGCATAAATTTGACCATGCCGTGGCCCACGAACATAACGAGATTGGGCCTGGTTCAAAAAGTGCATCTGGTGCGCTGAGCCCCGGCCCATATACACAGCTCCACGCCATAAACTCTCCGCCGATCAGCCCCAGATTCCCACAAAACCACGAAGGGAGCTTCGAAAATCCCAGGGCACCACCGCCAATTCCACGCTCCTCATCCAGCGCGAAACCTCTACCCCCTAACAAAACAAACTCTCTGTCTAGTAGAGTACCAAACCGCGCTGCTCCAAAACCTCCAGGCGTTCCAACTAATAATTTGATTCCTGTTCGACCTGCCCCGCTGCCTCCAGTTTCAAAGGAGCCCAACAGTGGTTCCAATCGGCCGGCACATGAGCTGCCTGCACAGTCCTTTGCGGCGCGCCCAACTGCGGAATCTGGCCAGTTGCCTCTTGAAACGCATCCTAGTCCATCTAATCTGAATGCCAATGACGCAAGTTTCGAAGGAAACGCCCTGGCACAAGCAACGGCTCCCACTCAATATCAACAGCTCCAGGAGCAAGCCACTACTGTTGCTCAACATGCCGTATCCCATAAACAGCTTGAACGATCAAGAAGTCAACGCCAACAGCAAGGGCTACAGTCTCAGCCACAACCGCCACGCATGCACCTGCAACATGTCCCTCCTTCCGTACAACAGCAGCAGCAACAGCAAGAAACAACTGGGCTAACAGATTCGGCACCTCCATGGCCCGAACGCCAGCAATTCATCCCACCCACTACCCACCAGCAGTTCTCGCAAAAAGCACCTGTTATACAGCAGGCACCACACCAACAAGGTCACCTTGGTCCATCTCCCCGGCCGCGCCAACGACCACGCCAGAGCAACGGGCTTGACATCAGGGCCCGGCTAAATGCAATTTGCTCGAGCGGCGACCCCACCCGCAAGTATAGGAATTTAAATAAAATTGGACAGGGTGCATCCGGCGGCGTGTATACCGCTTATGAGAATGGGACCAACAAATGTGTCGCGATCAAACAAATGAACCTTGAACTCCAGCCCAAGAAAGACCTGATCATCAATGAGATTCTTGTAATGAAGGACAGTAAGCACAAAAATGTCGTGAATTTCATGGACAGCTATCTGCATGGCGGGGACCTCTGGGTTATAATGGAATATATGGAAGGGGGAAGTTTAACAGATGTTGTTACCTTCAACATTATGACAGAAGGCCAAATTGCGGCAGTGTGTAGAGAGGTATGTTTCTAACACCTTTTCAAGTTCCCCGTAATGCAAAGTAACCGCACTAACTAATTAGACCCTCAATGGGTTACAACATCTCCATTCGAAAGGTGTTATCCATCGAGATATTAAGTCCGATAACATCCTTCTCTCCCTGGATGGCAATATCAAACTCAGTAAGACTTCACATACCTCCCTTATTGTCTCCTCACAGCTGATAAATAGTTAGCCGACTTCGGTTTTTGTGCTCAAATTAATGACTCTCAAAATAAACGCAATACAATGGTTGGAACTCCGTATTGGATGGCTCCTGAAGTTGTTACGCGCAAAGAATACGGGCGAAAAGTTGATATCTGGAGCTTAGGTATTATGGCAATTGAAATGATAGAGGGGGAGCCCCCTTATCTCACTGAATCACCGCTGCGTGCTCTCTATCTGATTGCGACAAATGGCACCCCAACAATTAAAGATGAACAAAATCTGTCACCTGTTTTCCGAGAATTTTTGCATTTTGCCTTGAGGGTTGATCCAGAGAAAAGGGCCTCTGCCCATGATTTACTCAAGGTAAGAGGACTCTTCATTCCGAGTGTTCCGCCTCTTTCACTTGATATCTACTATTTGCTAACGAAACTCGCGCAGCACAATTTCATGTCCCTATGCGAACCTCTTCCGAGTCTTGCGCCTCTTGTTAGAGCAGCCCGGATAAGCAGGGCTCAAGAGAAGGCCCAGAAAGGAAGTGGCTAGTCTTTCCTTCTCCATTGTCCAGCCTCATGCTCAGTCGAATAGCCACGCTCAAAATCCTCATATTTCACTCCTCACGATGTGATACCCGTGGATTTCTTGCCCTACATTTTATTATTTTATTTTTCATCTCCATGACATTACCTTATGCCTTGGTATTTACTGCCCCGGATCCCAGACTTGCGATTTTAGATGGGCCAGTGGCCGCGTGGTTTTCGCCGGTTCAATTCTTGCTTCTTGACATTATATGTTATTTCACTGCAAGATTATCTGCGGCCTACACTAAATATAGAGCGCGCTTGATCTAAAATTGACCCTACGTCTATCCGTCTTTCACTTACATGTCGCCACCAAACGTGTCCGCTCAAGTATACACAATCTAGGCCACATCCTGATTTATTTTTTGACGATGACTTGCCATAGTATGAATGTTTGTCCCTTTTTTATATTTTGATCCCATACAATCCACCTGCTTTTCTGTTTCGGTCTTCAACCCTTTGATTTCCGTCGTCAAGATCATCACGAAACTAGATCGCTTTTCTTTTCTTTCCTCTTTCCCTTACCTTGAATCTCTTGGCTTAGAACATAACATGTGGTTTATGGCGTCCGGTTCCATTGACAGCTACAGTATAAAGTATATGCTGCAGCTTATCGAGGAAATGCAGATACCATGTCAACTTGTCTATTCCCCTGCCCCTTCTTTGACCCTTCTCCATTTTAATTAAAGTATTGATGCGACTGAATTGCACATTTCGTACCATCATCATCCTATCTACATAAGGCTGATAGAATAAAATATATTACGTCGCATCTGTGTCAGTTGTTTATAAAGTGGACCGGTTATTCTAGCGCATAGGCAGAGGCGGAAAGAGTTTATTAGAATTCTTATGGGAGGGGTGAATGATAAGAACTTGGGTTTGTTGCGCGTCTGCGAAGTTCGGCCGTATTCTGTAGCGCTTCGTTGCATTTTTTGATAATACCTCTGAGGACTCTGCCACACATGTTAAATTTCAAATAAGTTAATGGTGCTAAATTTATTAGTTGGGCAGTTTCTTAGCGGACGAAGGTACGTAACGCAGTGTGGAGGGGAATGATAAGATGTCCATGTGTGGTCGGTCACATGGGATACATAGTTTGTCATATTATAAGGTCCACTCTCCACGTTGAGAACAAGGCTGCTTTCCAAGGTTACCGCATCATCACCGCATCATCACCGCACTTCATCTACGCGCGATATCCTTGCCCAAGTCCAACGCCGTTTTAAACCGAGCTTCCGGATTACAGACATCGAAGTGCTGCCGCCAGGAACCTTGTTGCCTGCAAACCGTCACATATGCGCTTTTGGCCTCGGTCCCGTCACCTTCGTTCCCATCTACAAATACGATATTTGGTTATTCGGCGCCACACGCTCGTTCCATTGACCGGGGCCACTTGAATATACGCCATCGGTCATTCAGTCAACAGATCCATCCTCCTGGGCTTCTCCCCCTAACCTGTTCAACCGCAGGATCAAACCATGTTTCGCATGCAACAAAATGCCTTCGACGACGCCGTTGGTGAGTGTTATCCCATCCTTATAGTTCCTATACATGGCTTATACACAGGCTAATGAATTTCCAATAGCCAAGGCAACGGATGAGAACTTGACGTCGGAAAATTGGGAATTTATTCTTGTACGTTATCACAGGAAGGATTGAATCAGGTTTGCCCAAAATTGCCTGATTGCTGATAAAACGATGGTCTACAGGATGTTTGTGATAAAGTCGGTGGTGAGGATACGGGGTATGGCTCTGGAGTGTTTGCGGGAAATTAGAATTATTCGATGTTTTTATACCGACTAACTCTGATCATCGGGATTCACAGCGCAAAAGATGCTGTTGCTGCATTGATAAAGCGAATCGCGCATCGGAATGCCAACGTTCAACTTTATACTTTGGAAGTACGTTCATGGTTCATGATTTGTTTGTGAGGCTTTCGCTAATCAAACCAGCTTGCCAATGCTCTTTCGCAGAATTGTGGGGTGAAAATGCACCGTGAGCTGGCCTCAAGAAGCTTCACGGATTCCCTTTTACGTCTTGCAAATGATCGGGTATGTTAGATTGCTATTTTATTCGCTATTGCATATCGTTCACGTCATTTGCTAATCGATTCATGGTCAATAGAATACCCACCAACAAGTAAAAGCGAAGATACTGGAACGAATGGAAGAATGGACAGAAATGTTTTCGAACAATCCTGATTTCGGCTTAATGGAACAAGCTTATATGAAACTCAAGTCACAAAGTAGGTAGGATGTTCTTTTGCGCGAGCTTTTTTGTAGCTGTTTCTTGGTTCCATTTTCCTGTTTAACAGTTAATTTGAACAGATCCAAATCTCCAACCCCCATCGAAACCAACGAAGCGGCAAATTACCGACTTTGATAGACAGAAGGAGGAGGAAGAACTTCAAATTGCGCTCGCATTGTCTATTAAGGATAAGCCTTCCACGACCCAGAGCACAAACACTGCACAGTCTACTTCCAGCCAGGAAAATCAGAGCGCGCTGGCAGCCCTCCACCCTGTTCCATCAGGAACTACCGCAGCCACCGTTTCTCGGGTTCGAGCCCTTTATGACTTTCAGCCATCTGAGCCTGGAGAGCTCCAGTTCCGCAAGGGCGACGTTATTGCTGTTCTCGAATCCGTCTACAAGGATTGGTGGAAAGGTTCCTTGCGCGGTCAAACTGGAATCTTCCCTCTGAACTATGTTGAGAAACTATCAGATCCAACGCAAGAGGAACTCCAAAGAGAAGCCCAAATGGAATCCGAAGTTTTCGCCGAAATAAAAAATGTGGAGAAGCTGTTGACCCTGTTGAGCACCAGCAGTTCAGAATTGAATGTTCAGGACAATGACGAAATCACCACTCTGTACCATTCGACCCTGGCTATACGGCCAAAGCTTATCGAATTGATTGGCAAATACTCGCAGAAAAAAGGTAAACCTTTTGGTTTAATTTCATCTCATCAAGCTATGCTAACATTTTCAAAGATGATTTCACGCAACTTAATGAAAAGTTCATCAAAGCTCGAAGAGACTACGAATCCCTTCTTGACGCCTCGATGGCTCATCCAGCACAACCATACTATGGACGGCTGCCAAAGACTACGTACGGTTACCCATTGCAAAATACGTCCGTGGGATATCCCCAAGGCCCTCCACAAGATGATCCGCAGCGTTACTATACCGCTCGCCCGCAAGGTATGAAATATTTTTTCTTACCCCCTTTTTCGTTCTTTTCGGGACTTTCCCTTCTGACCAGTGTCACTTCCTGCGTCTAATGGCATATAGAGGGCCAGAAACCTTTTCAAGCTGCTCAAACCCCACTCTACAGTTCTGAACAAGTTCCACTTCCTTACCCAAACAATGGACAGACATCCGACACCAGACAACGAACTCCCAGCGGTTCACAACATTTGTCGCAGCCCCAACAACCATTACCATCCGACGAGTACGGGGCAAACAGTATTGTTCAGAGCCATTCTGAAGTGTCTCCGACTACCCTCAAGAGCTTGCGACATCGGTGTATGAACCCCCACAAGACACCGTTCCACTAAATAATCGACACTCCTATCATTCCCCAGGCTACCAGACTCAACCATCTGCCTCGCAGCACAAGCCACAGTCGCAGCAGCCTCCAGACTTTTCTTCCGCATCATATTCGCCCGTCGGTCTTTCCACACCGCAAACTCAATCTGCTAATCTACCTTATCCCTCTCAATCGCATCCACTTCAGCATCGCCAACAACAGCAAAACTTCTCTACATCTATTCCGCCTCAGCCTAACAATGCACCTCCACCTGGCCTCCCATCAGGTACCCCGGGTCAGCCTCCGTATCCTATTGTCCCTGCTGGTGTGAGACCGGGACCTGCCAGTGAAGGGTACCAGCCCCATCACACCATCGGCGGCACACAATCCGCTTCTTCAAACGTAAATACAAACCCAAGTTCTTTCTATCGGTGAGTATGTGGCTGTCGTCGCCAACGATGGTGACCAATGACTTAAGAGGAAATCGGGCAATTGCAAGAAACTTCTATCTTTTTTTGCCATGCATGTTCTTCTATCTTGTTGAAATATCTTCACCAATTCGTTTTGCCTCTTTCTAACAGCATATGGATCTGGTGTAACTATGTTAATATTTACATCTTTGCCAAATGGAGTCATATGTTATGGGAAGCCGCTCTTGTTGTCCCTCTCGCTTACTTGTTTTCTTTGATATATCGGAAGTCCACAACTTATGTTTCTGATTCGTATTTTTGCTGGCCCTTTCAACGTATGTATAACTTGCTACGTAGATATCCCGAATACCGACTTTTGTGTGTGATGTTGGTTGCTATCATTTTGCAGATCAGTTTATCTCCTCACTTTCTGTATACATGCATCCCTGGCTGTAGAAGGTAGAGATGCTTTGACTTCAATAAAACAAACTTTAAATAAACTTTGAGAGTACTCTACTCATATCAATTCACCTTACAACTACTAATAAATATAAAGGTATGTTTAAATATTTGCTTTTTCAACTGTTGGCGCCTAACTCCATTAAACCCCGCTGGTGTTCTGCTCACCACTGCAGTCTCACATGTTTTGCATTTATTCATTTATTCACAAAATGCTCAAAAGTAAATAGACAGTAACAACAACTTCAATTATTAATAAATAGCATCAAATTAAATGATCAATTAACTTATATTTCTTTTTGATTCTTTCGTTATGATAAATAAAATATAGTATAACTGTAAAATATAATATGGTTTATTTTAAATCAATCAACTTTATACGATATTTCAAATAATTTTTTAAAATCAATTTAATCTTAAAATTGAATTAAACTAAGAATAATATGAAATCTGTTTAAATATTAGATATTAACAATCTTATTTATATTTTAATATAATTACTATTGAATTCAGCTTTAATTTTTAATAATAATATATTTATACTTTCAATTTTAAAATACAGAGAATAAATTTAAAAAAGTATTTCAATTTATAATAATATTAGAAATAATCTTCTTGCAACAACTCTCTTTAAAAAGTGAGTAAACAAACTTTAAATTTAAAAAAATAAACAATATTTTTAAATAACTTTAAGTTAAATATAATATTATATCATTAAAACTGTATAAAATATATAGCTGAGTGAATTAAAGCGAAAATATAAAGTTATATTAATTATATAATTAGATATCATCAGATATTATTGAAATATATTATTACTTATTATCATTAAATATTATTAACATATTATTAATATATATCACTATAAATAGATATAATTTTTCTATATTACTGATTTAACAAATAAACAAATAAATAAACAGACAAACAATCAAATAATTATCTAGTAAGTTAACATTGTTAAATAGAAAAGTAGCAATGTTGTAATTAAAAGTGGTTGTTATTATTAAAGATCTAGCTGCTACGTGTGAGTACCATATTCGGCAGACATTTAAATGTGACGCGGCGGCGGCGGTGGCGGTCGGGCCGCTTGCGGATGCCTTAGGGGGTTCAACAAACTATATAATAATATTTATTCCTATAGAGATTAATTGCATATTGAGTAAATAGATGTATTGAAAGGTAGAGAGAAAGATAGATAATCAGATAACTAAATTGAAAGATAAATAAAAGATAAGTAGATAACTCAAAGGTAAAAAATATATAATATTTAAGTCAATTGCCCTTTAATATTGAAGATTTTTGTCTACTGCACGCACTCTATTAACGCCATTTCTCTACTATAATAGAATCTTACGAATATATTTAAATAAAAGTATTGAAAAATTAAACCACTGTAATATCAAAAACAATATTTATTAAATAGTTATAATAAATCAATCTTTTACCTTCATCATAATTAACTAATAATTAAATTATTTTCCCTTTAATTTAATCAATACACCATCCCCAAATACCCCGTGAATAATTACATCCTCTACACTCTAATCGACCTCCAATATGATTTTTTTTACAATCTTCTTCATTTGCACATGGAATTTCAGGACAATACCAAGCTCTGGAGGTTAAAACCATATCTGGTTCATTTATAGACTGTAATACTTTATAAAAAAATTATATTAATATTATTTTAAATTTTTATTATTTAGTGTAATAAATAAGGATTTTAACTTACAATTTAATTTATTTAATATAAAATCATTAAAATCATCATCTTCATTTTCAAATGATGATGTTAAATCTTGCAAATTATTATTTTTTTGATATATTTCAATATCTGATTTTATATCCTTTATAATATTATTTATATCAGAAATTTTTTTATCAATAGTAGAAGATATAGTTTCCTTTATTAATAAATAAAATTAATTATTAATAATTATTTTAATAGTATAATTAATAAATTAAAAAATCATATTATATACTTACTACTGATAATATCGATTGAGTCATTATATAAAAAATAATATTTAAAATGAAATTTGATATAATATTAATATTCATGATGAATATTATTTATTTCAATATAATATTACAATTTATTTTATGATAATTTAATTTTTGTTAACAATTATTTGAAATAAATAAAAAGAAAAAAGCATAGGAATTTATAATTTATAAAATAATGAAAAAGTTAAATTTATATTATGTTATTATAATATAGTTATAGTATAATAAAGTTAAAGTTTCATACTAAAACATTAAATCAATAAATTATAATTCCAACAATTGATGAAATTATATAATTATTAGATTTATTGTTTATTATAATGCTATATATATATATTTATCTAAGCAGTTCTATATTTGTTAGATAGTTACAATACAGAGTTTGTGTAAATATTTTTTATTGTAACAATCTTTCTTATTTGATTTAATTTTGTATAAAAATGACATTTTGAAATGTGTCTAATATCAGCTATAATCAGCCATTATTATATATGTGAAATTATTCATATGATATTTTCATACTAATCAGTATATTGTGTAATAGAGATCTAGCACAGATAAAATTTTCAATGAACATTTCTTTACATATTTATTTTATATATGAGTATTGTTCAAATATATAATTTCTTATGTTTTTAATTTTATAACAGTTTTTTTTCTTTGTAATTGATTCTTTTATCTGCCTTCTGTTACGTTATTTAAAATAAATTATCAGATATTATATATGTGAGTTTTATGATTTTTTATTGAATGATTTAGTTCTCATGCAGTTAAAAATGTGTAAACCTTAATCTTTATTTTAATACAACAAGTTAAAGTTAGTGTCAATGCAATAATTTTAAATAAATATTAGATTATTTAATAATAAAGATTTTTATGAAAGATTTTTTTCATTAACATTTTAAAATCTATTGTTCAACTGATTCTGAATCTGAAAGAAAAGAAAATTATAAAGTACAAAGAGTATTTTGATATATTATTATTATTATTATTATTCTTTCATTATACTGGTATGCAAGCAGTGTTTATGACGAGTTCTTGTGTAATGTTAAATACAGACAAGGTTGGTTGTATAAAAGGAATGTTTAATGTTGAATAACATCAAGAATATAACAGAAACATAGAAAAATTAATGAAAAACAGAATTTAATACTCACAATACAGATTTGCAACTCAGAAACAATAAATTAAATCAGATAGTAGATTCATCTGAAGATATCTAGTTCACATCTGTTGATAGCTCATTTCAATATTTAAAAACATATAATTAAACAAGTTCACATTTCTTTATTTTAGAAGCTGAGAAGTTGGCTTTAGATGTAATGTTGTCCCCTTATGGGTTTTAAACCCACGCGCCTTGAGTCCTCACGCCAAGGCGCTACCTGGTAGCCGCATTACCCATTCGGCCACCGGGGCACATGTTTGATGTGTTAGTAGCTTGAACATTTTCACTGATATTTGAGTGAGGTCAGCAGTTTTATCAACATCTTTTTTATAAACACACTCATTTTCTAAAAAAAATAAAGCAACAATTGCAAGCATTCAACAAGATTTCAAATTCTGTAAATCATAATAAATTGAGTATTAAATCATATTTAAAATTTTGTACATTGTATATATACACATTTTTTTTCTCATATTCTTCTACATTGACATTAAATCTTACCATGTTGTAGAAGATGAATCCTCTTAAATCATCAAATTCATTGAATTTATATAATTCAGAGAAAGAAATACACTGAAGCTTATACTTTTTTATCAACTGAATATTTATAAAAGTGTAGTAAAGAAAATCACTGTTTATCATTGATCATATATTGATTAAATTATTTACAATGATAGAAATTATAATCATGTTTATTTACATCTTCTATTCAAATCTTCAACTAACTTCTTACTTCTTTCACTCTCATTTATATTTTAAGATGAGAGCTATTCTTTTCTCTGCTCTTGTTTATTCACAGATGACATAGCATTTAAATATATAAGAGACTTGCTTAGAATGATTGTGTTATTATTATTATTATTTATTATACTCCGCTTTCATCCAATGGATATGCGGTTCTGCTACCATATGTCTAGCTAGGAAAACCCCACTGCGCCTTGGCGCAAGGGGGTGAAAAACCTTGCGCACAGTGGTGTTAACTATCCTGTTCATCTGCAGGGTACCGGGCAAGTCAGCTAGAGCTGTTCCTTGCAATGGGAGCGGGAACAAAGGAAAAGGAATTAGAGAAAGTATAGTAACAAAAGAAAGGAAGAAGGGAGGGACAGATAGTAGGCGCTGTTAGGATAGAAGGGAGTGACAGGAGGGGGTAGAGGGGATTGACAGAAGGGGTAGATAGAGGAGATTATACGGCAGGGTGAGGAGATGATGAGGGGATGAAAATGAGGTGGTGCAAATGAGGTGGAGAGAGGCGAGGGGATGGGGAGGAGAGGGAGGAGAGGGAGGGGC